TATTAGCATAGATGGCGCTGAGGCGATAAGCAATCAGTATTCTTACCTTTGCGGATAAGGCTCAGCCTGGTCTGATTGTGTCTCCTGTTGGGTATCGTGTGACTGAATCGGGGGTGCTACTGTAGTTGTAGCAGTGGTGGTGCTGGGTATGTCTGTCGGTATCTGTGTCGAGGAAGGTATACGCGCTTCATACTCGGCAGTGGCAAGTGCCGGGGCCTCTGGCGTTGGTTCGGCTGGACCTGAGGATCTAGAGTTGACCACCTTGTCATGTACTGGGATATTTGGGGGCGTGGTACTTTCATAGATAGTGAGTACCACAAGCGCTGTCAATCCAAAACACAGATACTCAAGAACACCTACATCTCTGTGGTGTGAGGCTCCGCATTAATACTTATAGTAGAGCGGCAAAGCTTGGATTCCGGAACCCCACTCGTAGTGGGGGGTTCAGGAGCCGTGCGGTCAGCGGGGCTGGCGGAGACCTGCTCAACCACCACCGCCGGGATTGACTCATCAGTTGCGGTTTTCTTCGAGCCGCGATGGAAGAAACCGCGCAGCGTGCGCCTCTTGGGTTTAGGTTCGGCCTTAGGTTTAGATTGCTCTGAACCCATAGCTTGGTCTATTCGAATGTGCTTATTGGCTACCCCACAACTTTTGCTGAATCGGTACTCGGAAACAAGGCTACCGGGGGTTTCGAGTGATCAGATAGATGACGGCGTATATCGATGGTAATAACGAGAGGATTTTTGTCAAATAGTAATGTTGTGAAGGGTCGAGTGGAGTTGTGTTGTTTCGGTGCGAGAGAGGTTTAGAAGGGGGAACACGTAGCATACGAAGGCGGGTGTCAATCTACTTCTTAGCTACACGACCTTCAAAAATCTATCTCCCCATTGGACCAACGTTACTGCGCATGCAATGATATCAGGTTGAGCCTCCTCTCCTCTTTATGCTACGTTAAACATGAACATCCTTACCGAACCACTGCCCGCCTTTGATTTGCTGTTACTACATCGAGTACTCGTACGGTACATGAGCGAGTATGTGCGTGCTTGATGCCGGCGCCTGTCTCGAAATCAGCCCCAATGTCTTGCATGGGCCAACCATTGAACGGCTGTAACTGGTACAAGGCAGGCGCAGTTGAGGCTGGTTGAAACCCAGTTGGTATATAGACTTAAAACCCTAACCCTGCATAATTTACAACAATCGAATTAAGCTAGCCGGCCTAACTTTTAATATGTGGAGTTAGTATATTACGATGCCTCTGCCTGTATGAGCGAAGGATAGATTTGCTAGCGGGAGAGGGGGATGACAAGCTAGGAAAGAGAAAATATGGCCGGCTGGGTGCGTCAGAAGTCCCATCATAGATGGGAATGAATAACGTGAGGGGCCGAATTTGGTTCGTGGCGCGCGATAGTTACATCCGTATAAGTAAAGGTGAGGAGTAACTCATAGGGGCCAGGCTAACCAGCCTTTCCGCTTGGAGGGTATATATTTACGTTGTAAGACCGCCTGTGATTACATACCGGCCTCACTAATCATGATTCTGTTAGAATTACAGACAAGGACACGTTGAGCTATAACCGCTGTGGTACCGAGTCAATATATGATGTTTGAGAGTCAGGTTAGCTCACTATTCCAGTGCCTATATACCACTCCTTTATATACCCGGCTGTATATAACTGTATCTCGCCAGTATATACTATCTCCCGGATTGAGATCAACTTTTAATGCCCCCAATGCCGTGCTCAATGGTTTCACCGCGGTGATGCATGCTTCTTGATAGGAAATGGTGTCTGGGCACAGACAAATTCCCCAGTGACCCCCGGCGTGGTTCTAGTTCTTATATGCTCGGTATCGTGGAAGAATGAAGAAATGCTAGTTATAATTATTGAAAGCTTGCAGTATCACATTCGATCTCCCTCTCCTGGTACTCCCGTGGCATGCAGAGAATAGCTGCGCGTAGGCAAAAAGGATAAAAATCATTGATTGGGATGATGTATCTCGATCGCATAGAAGTGAGGCAGTGTTTAAACCCCCGACAACGCTTTTTGGCGCTCCCGTCGTAATCTTCTACTGAGTCGTGCGAGTGTTGCTGTATATATGTCTTCCTGCGATAGTGTTTATTTGTTGCTCAGGCCTAGGTACGGATACATACATCTACGATTCCACGTTCCCCTGTCCCGGGTGAGCCTAGGGCTATCCTTACCACGTTTCCACACGGCCCATTCCCGTTCCTGCATCAAGTGCACCAAGACCCCGGGTTTTGGCTGATCGACCACACGTTTCGTGGCCACACAATCTCATACTACGTCACATTACCAAAGGTACAAGTTCATGCCATGAAGTATCACCGGCCGCGATCTGTACAGGTTCCAAACCAGCCCTGTCCGATATATATATATATATACAAGAAACACGGAAGGACGTATATGCAACCTCTTATTAAGTAAGCTACATCCCACACCCGACACATCCCTCCGCGGCCGTCGATCATTGCTTGGCTACCAACAGGGCCAGGCTACTAGCAGTCTAGTGGCTGCACCATGATGTAGACTCGAGTATACAATACAATAAGCTACCCCACATCTTTGTTACACTACAGCAGAATGATCTGGTATCCAAACAAGGCAACAGCGTGACTTTTATACTTACTCTACATATAGCTCATGTACCTACCCGTCTAGCTATAGCTGGACCCCCCAGCACTACGTTCATACCGCCGGAACAGGGCGAGGTAGCTGCAGGTTAGTCGATCCCCCACCCCGCACTCTCCTCTGAAGCTCATCCCTCATGATCTCAGTTGCCCAATCCTCATGTTACGACTCGACGCCCACTTTGACCGTGGTTTCTCCAGCAGGCTCTCCGCAGTCTAGGAAACAACACACACCCGACCCCGATCGAGCTAGTTGCCTCGAATCTCCGTTACCCGAGGTGTTCGTTGTCACATACTATCACTCGGGCTTCGAGTGATAATCCATGACCATATGTTCCGTACCTTGTTTAGACTATTGATACCACTGCCCGGGTAGTCTCATGCTCCTGGGATGAGCTCTCGGTATCCACACACCGACTGCAGGTATTTTGGGGTACAGATCAGGATTCGAACACTGCAATTCCCCCCTATCCGTCTACATAACGGGTAAGAGTTGACACAGCTAGCATAGTAACAGAGGAAATCACCTTCTTGGTCTCTATCGATGAATGAGGTACGTGCAGAGGGTAGGCAAGTGCCAGGAGTCACGTCATTGATTCTCGGTGTGCAGGTCAACTCATAGTTTATCACTCGCTTTGTGCCAAGAGCTTAACACTAGATATAGATCATGTTTGCACCCGTCCCCTTTCGGGGGACGGTTAAATTGGGGAAGTAGTAGATCGACAAGCGTATTGCCCTACTATCGGGAGAGGTACAGAGTAGGACAAGGTAGAGGGAAAGCATCGAGAGAGTAACCAGACGGCACTCCCGCCCACGACCCCAAACCTAGCAGAAAAACACGATAGCTAACTAGACGAGCAGGTCTAGCAAGAATATATTCGCAAGGAAATGATAGTCTGTCGGCATTAAAGGGTAAAGAAATACTCATAACCCCGAAAGGTTCGAAGCAAAACCACTCATTCCTAGGAACGATCAGCGCAATTGCGCAACGTACCCGGACATGCCCGACTCCAGACATTCTTAAGCACAGAAAGGACGTATAGCTGGGTACATTCATACAATGTCCTAAGACGTATATCATATCTAGTCCCGAATTATCATCAAACATGATATAACTATCTGCATATTCCACAAACAATATACGAATATATATACGTACGTTGCCAAGACTACCCATTTACAAAACCCACCGCCCGCCAAAGTATTCCAAGCAGTACAAACCCGCGGCCAACCAAACCTCACAAAACCTACATAATACACTTTACACGGCTTGCCCGGCTGGAGATTAATAATCAGCAACATATATCTACACAAAGCGCGGATCGGCTCGAGTGACACTTCATGACACTGCCGCCGGAGAACATAAGTTGTGGATTGGAGCGGAGCTAGCGCGCGGGTTAAATTATTATTTGCGGATGGTATATACCACGCGTACGGGGAAGGCCCTCTCAATAGTGTATACCAGTCCACTGCTTAACGCAGACATGACTATCATCAAGCATGCGTGTTGGGTATAAGTGTTGTTCTAGGAAAACTGTCTGTACAGACAAGTCCTTATTCCGAGGAACCATACAAAACATAGGCTCTAAGTCTACGGACCCGGTCCGACCCGCCGAAGAAAAGTGAGGGCACGGCCCAGGCATTTAAACATAGCCCGGGTACGCTGTAAAAAGACCGGGGTACAGAAAAATTGAAGAGAACATGGAGGTTTAGGCTCATGAAATATCACCCAAAGACCAAATCCTAATCATATATGATATTGCAAAAAGATAAGGAGACCTGCTGGAGGTGACCCGGTAAAATATTTCATCGGACCCGGCCTAACTAATTCTCAGATTCGAAGGACCCGACCCAGTGCACCCGTATTACAACCCATTTAGCCAAAGTATGGGCTGACCCATGCACTGCGGTCCCTGCCTAGATCATGATACCTTATCTTTGGGCACCCGGAATTATATCATTTACTATCGATCCTAAAACATTTGAACGTACTATAGGGATTCAATAGCCCGAGGAAAAGAAAATGTCAAAACTCAGCTAATCAAATCCTTTGATTCATATACATTACATACTTGGTATTAATTAGATACTAATTAGAGTACGAAGAACCATCACACCCACTTCCCAGATACAAAAAAGCGTTACAAACAACCCCTCAAAGCAGATAGCCACAGCCAGCCAACCCATGGCACCCCCAAATCCTATCCACCCACAAAATCTGTGCACTTCTGTTGACTCTGCATGCCCAGAGACTAACAATCAGGAACCTACCCGCGCGGGGTGCGGACTGACTTGCGTGACGCTTTATGAAGGTACTGCCACAGTACTTGATTATGGAATTAAATGGAAGCTATGGGCTCACATTGAGGAAAGAGATAATAATTCCCGCGTCCGCATCGAGAGTTGCTAAATTCAGTGCGGTCAGACCGTGGGCATCCTGTGCCTGTGGGTCGGCATTGTGAGTACGGAGAAGTTGAACAATGTACACGCGCCGACATATAACTGCTAAATGGAGTGCGGTCTGACCCTTGGAATCCTGCGCCTCTAGGTCGGCATTGTGAGTGAGAAGAAGTTCAACAATCTCCTCCCCGAGAGAGCTGGCCGCAAAATGGAGTGCGGTCCGACCGTTGGCATCCTGCGCTTCTGGGTCGGCATTGTGAGTAAGGAGAAGTTGAACAATGGCCTTGCGCTGAGATATAACCGCTAAATGGAGTGCAGTCAGACCGTTGGCATTCTGCGCCTTTAGGTCGGCATTGTTAGTGAGGAGAAGTTCAATAATGTCCTCCCCGGGAGAGCTGGCCGCAAAATGGAGTGCGTTCTGACCGTTGACATCCTGCGCTTCTGGGTCGGCATTGTGAGTAAGTAGAAGCTGAACAATGGACTTGCGCTGAGATATAACCGCTAAATGGAGTGCAGTCAGACCGTTGGCACCCTGCGCCTTTGGGTCCGCGTTGTGGGTGAGAAGAAGCCCAACAATGCCCTCCCCCTGAAATCCAACCGCTAAATGGAGTGCGTTCTGACCGTTGACATCCTGCGCTTCTGGGTCGGCATTGTGAGTGAGGAGAATTTGAACGATTGCCTCGCACTGAGACACAACTGCTAAATGGAGTGCGGTCTGACCGTTGATATCCTGCGCCTCTGAGTCGGCATTGTGAGTGAGGAGATATTCAACAATGTCCTCGCAGTGTTCGCCAACCGCTAAATGGAGTGCGGTCTGACGGTTGGCATCCTGCACATCTAGGTTGGCACTGCGATTAAAGAGAAGTCGAACACATGCCTCGTCGTGACATAAAACCGCTAAATGGAGTGCGGTCTGATAGTTGGCATCCTGCACATCTAGGTTGGCACCGCGAGCAAGGAGAAGCCGAACAATGGCCTCGTGCTGGTATAAAACCGCTAAATGGAGTGCGGTATGACCGATGAAATCCCGTACGTTTATGTCCGCATCTCGAGCAAGGAGAAGGTAAACAATCGACTTGCGCCCATTCCTCACTGCTAAATGCAACGCGTTTTGACTCGATGAGTCCAAGGCCAAGGTCTGTAGATTCGCGTTGCCGTCAAGGAGCAGTTGAACGATACTATTTTGCCCATTTATAACTGCTAAATGGAGTGCGTTAAAACCTTCACGGTTTGGCTCTTCTATGTCCGCTTTGTTCATGAGAAGAACCCGAAGACTAGCCTGACGCCCTTTTATGGCTGCTAGATGCAGCACATTTTGGCCCATGTTATCACAAGCATGAAGGTTTGCATTGTTCGTAAGGAGAACTTCAATAATGGCCCCATGGTCCTCTAGAACGGCATGGTGTAACGCAGTCCTCCCCTAATGTCCTTAGCTTCTAAGCAAGCTCCGGAGTCGATGAGAAACATGGTAGCTGCACGGTGCCCCCTCCTGCGGCCAAGTGTAGGAGGGTCTCCTGTCTATTGTTTTGGACATTATTTCTGACATTATTTCTGGCAGAAATAGCCAGTAGACTGCGGATCGCAGTATGGTACCCCATTTGGGCAGCATGAAGAGTTAATCTATTTGTGTAACCTTGGAGACCGACACTAAACCTAAAATCGAGCCGATCGCGTCGAGACTTTAAACTGGGTGATGATATTCCATTCAAGAGCAGAGCCATAAGCGAGCAATGTGAACTCTCGACTCGGTCAAAGAGAATGGACAGCCTGTTTGTTATACCTGGTGTCATCGCATCCAAATTCGCTTTCAAGTACTCCAAAGAAGGCTTGATGAATGGCCTGTTCTCTAAGTATTCAAGATGCTTGCACATCTGGGCGACTGACACACCACCCGGCCTCGGGATTGTAAATCCAATCACCTCTTCACACACAATTTCGAGGAATCGGACGCAAGTTAATTGTATCATCTCTGAAGCATCATTCTCAGTGACGTTTAAGTGTGACGTTTGCACGAGGTTACGAGGGTGGAGGAAGAATTCGCGGACTGTCTGGTGCATGACTTGGACAGCCGGAAAGACCTTCGTACCTAGAAGAGTTTATAAGCGCGAATATTCTGAGATATCAGAGAAACAAGGCTACAGTCCTTTTCTAGTCTTTAAGAAGCTCGGTTTGATGTTCAGTGATCAGTCAGAGATACAGGAGCCAGCCATTAAAAGCTCGATAGCGGACATAAACAGCTTCCCATTTTCTAACAAGGCACATTCACAATTGACCGAGCTTCCCCAAAAACCCAGGTATGATTGTAGCTGCGGTAGAGCATGGTGTTTTACGTACTTGCTTTAACATCCACAAAGCCTCCAACACAGTGTGTCAAAGTCTTGGAGATATCTCCTGGTATCTCAGACATCCATACTTTGTAATCTGGCTCCTCGTCTTCTGCTAGACCTGGGATCGCAAGAGCGTGCTTTAGATCGACAAGCGCCATTGCGCGCCCAGAGAACAAACAAAACTGAAGAATACGTTTGCCATCTATCCTAGCCTGTCCCTTGTTACGAGTTAGTCGTTGAAGCATACATTCGTAGAGGCTCTCGAGGCTCTTAGGAAGAGATTCCAAAAACGAGATCAATGTACTCCTCCGCGAGTCATTCATAACCTCCTCTGCTAGTTTTTTTAACACAAGGCAAACCCATATAAAAACACCGTCTGAAAATTTTAAAATGTACCCCTCTATCTCCTGTTTCACTTCAGAATTGACAGAGGTGAAATCTTTATTTTGCAAAAGGTTATGTGTATATCTTTCGATATCCCCCCGATTCTTCTCTTGCAGCCGGATTACTTGTCGCTCAGACCAGTTGCTGGACTGTAGTTCGTTGATAGGCCGACTGGCGAGGAAGATATATACCATGCATTCACGGTTATTCAAAGCCGGAGCCGATAACACATGTAAAAATTGGACAATGTCGGTACGATCCGTACAGGCAGACTCGTCCATAGCGTCAATAATCAAATATATCATACGAGGTCGCAAATGCGTTTTGCAGGCGCGTAAGATATCTTTCATGTCTTTAGAACACCATTCAATCCTACCTCCCCCTTCCCGACGATAGATGGACTGAAAATGAATGAAAAATGACTCGTCCGCCTTCAGTATTTGATATAGTAATGTTCTCAACATGTTCCGATGATCCCTCTCGTGTTCACCATCCCGCGTGTTGTAGAAGAACTTCAGGACGATGGCGTCACTCGGAGGAGTGAAATTATCTGCAAAGTATCGCACCAACGTACTTTTTCCGCTACCGGGTTTTCCTTCAATAAACAGAAGACCTGAATCCGGATGCTTGAAGGATATCCAGAGCTTGTACTCAGGAGACTTCCACAACCATGCGAGAGTATCGCTGTGGTGTACTGCGATCTTATCGTATCTGAGGTTTTTGAAATGGAGAGTATTCAGGCACTCTAGAGCGGTGTTAGACCTTCAGGGTCGACAAAGACCTGAGAGAATCAGGGACACAGGGCTTATACATACCTTGTCTTTCCTCATCATAAAAAACAAGCATCTCAGAGGGCGGCACAAGCTGAATACTAACTGTATCTGGTAGATCGGTAATAAGTAATTTCACGGTAGAAAATTTCGATGTCAGGCGTTTCATTAGAAGACGAAGGTCGTGGATTATCTTTTCCCACTCATCTTTGGCCGGACCGCTACCAAGTATTATCCTTAAACTTGGTTTTGAAGTTTTCCAGCTTAGCCCTGAATGGGTAGTACAAAAATCAGCAGCCTTTAGAAGTACCTCAAGAGCGTTCCAAAGAGTATCAGACTTTGAATTAATGATAGTATGAAACGCATTCTCGTGATCCCCGTGGATTTCGATCAACTCGTCATTACGTAAAGATGTTAAGAGAACGTTTAGAAACACCTGTGAAAGGCATCTTCCCTGATCCTGTGGAAAAGCTTCAATGATCTGGCAGCAGAACGTCCATACAACCAGTGAAACCATAGGTTTGTTACTTCCCCAGGTCTGTTCGAGCGCCGCTTTTGGTACTCCCATGAGGGAGAAATGTAACAAAAAGCAAGTCTCCTCCGTGGCTTGTATAATTTGGATAAGATGGGGCATAGCGTATGGCAAACATGGGAACGACTTATAGACCAAAGTATGGACGTGGCCGGTTTTCGAGATCCAGTTCTGATAATCTAGGTTGTGCTGCATAAAAAAGAAAGCCGGGGTTTCCTCAATCCCAGGGGCCATATAATCCATTGTACGGAGGTGTTTCAGTGGATTGAAACAAAAGGTATCTTGCCCTCGTAACACTGTTTGTAAAAGGGACTCAATAACGGTTGCTCGGTCGAAGTGCACTGTCAAGTCGTTAGCCCTGTTTCCCATTCTAGTTTAGCTCGGATAGGCGCTGATTGACCCCACCGTAACAAGATTTCATGCAAGTTACAACATCTTGAAAGGCTTTGTCATCGGGCGAGTCAAATTTAACTATGTCTGTGTGGTTTGACTGGACAGGAAATCATCCCTCGTTGCGCAGGAAAAGCTGAGCTGATGATCTCTCCACCATTTGGAATAGACCACCTGATCTTTCCCATACTCCTGGTTCTACCTATCGAGTTTAAATTCGACTTAGCCTGGGAAGAATGGAACGATACATTCGCAGGGATGAGAACTCCTGGTACAAACCTCCTTTACTACTTTTGTCTTCTCAGTTTCGTAAAATGTGAAGATATTTCCCGCGAATCTAGTGTTCCACATAATACATAAACTCTCTTTCTGCCTCTCCAAAAATTCGCAGCCTTCTTCCAACTGTGAAAGTAGGGTTTGTATCTTCTTATACAATATCCCCCTATTCGCCATCTCGCTAAGCTCTTCGGTCCTCATACCACCATGGGGGGTACCGAAAAAAAAGATTCCACGAACACAAGCAAGGGCGGGGCTGGAGCACTGAACCCATGTAAGTAGTAACTATGAAGAAACCTGGTCAACGTTAAGTATGCAATGAATGGACGTTTCTCCTACCTGGTTTACCAAAAGGCCCCCTAAGCTATGTGCAATGAAGATGATCGGCCTCCCCTAGATATATGACAGATGTTAGATATTCGACAGGTAGTATAGACACACCGTAACAGTTCCATAGAGACAATACCGGACACTTATCTCTAGCATTCACTATACACTGCTCGAAACTCCGCGCATAATCAAGCAAATTATAGCCGGTAGGTTCGGAAAAACTGCTGTCATAACCATAGGTCATGATGCGTGTTTGGGGGAACCGTTCAGGTAGAAAGTCACGTAGCCACATTGGGCGATCGAGCGGACGTCCGACTATACGGACCCTACTTCTCCACGAACCAAAGGCATGGCCACTGAGACCAGTTATTGCGATCAAACTGCGTAAAATAGGGCGGTCAGCATTCGAGAAACATTCCTTACGCGTCCCATTAGTCTATGATTGTACTTACTCCGCGCTGATTGGTCCTTCCGGGACATTTATTGGTGTTAGATCATGAAAATGCTTATCGAATCTGAGTGAGGCATCGTTGCCCCTGCCATTTGCCTGGAATGAGTGATATATTTCTTTGGCGAGACCAGGGAGTATATATCCCTCCAGGCGGCGGTAGACGGTTAGTAATGCTGTCTGTGAGGATTCGCGGCAGGCTGGAAATAATGCGGAAAGCTGAGAACTCTGGGAATCTAGTTTTGGGTAGATTTTTCGCAATGCTTCCTCGAGGTCCCCCTTGTTCCAGCCAGAAGGTATTCCACATATTCGGAAGCATATTGGTTCATCGCGTGAGTGATTACCGGCCGTCAGGTTTACCTCTCTAGGATCGCCTTCCAAAGTTGATGTAGGTGGGGTCGACCAGGCGGCGCTGTCCAACGGGGATGTGGTAATCTCTGACGGCGAAGAATTCATAAGAGCTATGTTGCAATTACTAGCTAAATATGGCGTGAAGCGTAAGAAGAGTAAGTGTGATGGACCCTATGCGTCCGACCTATATGTATACAGTCACAACTCGATATGCCGGATTGCCAAGATTCGAAGGATTTCATACGGGATAGCAAAAAATCCGGGATAGCAAATTGATTTTGCAGTAAAAAAAACCAAAACCCCAGAGAATTTCGTACGGGATAGCAAGGGATCCGGCGTATTGAGATCCGGCATATCGAGTTGTGACTGTATACGTATATGTTAATAATTGGTAGATTGGGTATCTGATTCCATTGCGCGAGGCCCTGACCCCGCACAAGTTTAGAAGCCAATCATAATTAAATGATCATGTGAGTTTCAACCCTTTGAGATGTTGAGAAGCAACCAGGTGCATGGTGTCTTCAACAATCTATGCTGTCGCCATGTCTGCCAAAATTCAGTTTCTTTCGCCTTGTTAAGTTCATTCTCTTCCCCCTCACCACGATATATCCGCATATTCCATTACTTCTACTTCTTCCCTAGGATCGATATAGATAAGCATCCACTGGGTTTGTTGCAGCCGGTCCGCTTGTACTACCATCATCATATGTTTCCAAGGGTATAAAAGCCAAGCCCGAAGCCTAGAGCCCCTAGGAAAGGTTCGCGCCCGTGGGAATCGGTCTAATCATCTTGTGCGAGCCCCGACGCCCATGAGGCGGGAAATAGAGCCGTTTCATATTAGGGGCAGGTCGCCTGGGGTGGGTTGGAAAATAGGTGGAGACTGCTGAGGAGATGGCTGTAGGTCGGTTTGCAGGTTGGGATTATGTGGTGGTGGAGATAAGGGTGTCTAATTTACTTTGACTCGGCATTTGTCTTGAAGAGGCGGCAAGCAAAGACCATTTGCATAATACCGCGATCCTTCCCCGCAGAGTATATCAATCCCATAAGCTCCCCACAATGCCTCCGATCTGAATTAAGAGTACAACTCTCACCAATGCACACCACTCCCTATGACCCTACCTGGCGGTGATCTTTAGTTTAAGTGTATAAACATGCAGACTCTGAGTCAAAGCCTACCAAGCCATACCACCGTAGGCCAGTTAAACAGCCCAAACCCCCACAATCCCATCTTTCCGCACCCCGCACGACATGAAAAACTTGCGCCATAGCGCGAGCTCAGAAATCCACACCTACACCCACCAGCGCAGACATACAAAGTCTAAAAACCGGTAAACCGCAAAAACCTAGGGAGTCATCATTGTGGGAGAGAGAGGTGAGTATAAGACTCCTTCATATTTTATCACTGACTAGAACCCCTCTACCGATGCGTTTATATTCATTAAACAGAACCGCTTGGCCTAATTAACCCACCACATTCACCGCTTGTTTTCTAAATAGAATAATCAGCTATCTCTGTCATCACAAATTCTCATCACGAAAGGTCTCCATTGGCTGGTGAGCTACCCCCCGCCTCCGTAGCCCGGGGAGCTACAGCTGCCGTTAGACAAAGAATTGATTCCACCGGGATCCGGGATTGAGTGCATTAAGATAGACGCCATGCATGTTTTTCAAACATTCAATTGAATGGCTCCAAATCCGCAAACCACAAGAACTATCATGATATATGATAGCCTCTATGATCAGTGTTATTGACTTCATACTCCTATCGATGGTTCTTCTCTTCTAAGACTACCACACCTCACGGGAGCAAGGAGGCCTAGCATACCGCGCAGCGGCAGGCAGCCCCGACTACGTGCGAGGAATCGAAGTTTATTTTGAAGTACCGTTACAGAGAGCTTTATGTTAATTTGATTAATCGAATCATTCAACAGAGGTGTGAGTTTTCTGGGTGTTGACAAATATAAATTTCCTTCTGCTATCAGTGGTTCTTCGAACTGATGGTTGATTTTATATGCGGCCGGAGGCCGCGCCTCACTAATATCAATATAGACACGCCTTCGCACCCCCCCAAATGAGAGTTACAATATCTCCACCACCGGTTCTTGTAGCACTCGAGTAAAATCGGTGATAAACAATCCAGCAGTGAACACGTAAGAAAGGCTTGGCGTCAGTGTGGTGCGTGCGAGTGAGATGTTGTGACGATAAATAGCTATCCCTCTTTGTTGTTAAAGCTTCTGGGTGGTATTTGTGTCTTGTTTTGTTATACGGTGAGTTCATAGTCGTATCCCATGGACCATAACGGGGTAGACATTCTTTTGAATTGAGACCACGATATAGCTATGCAGTAATTGTTTCTTATTCCATTACAATACATAGTGGATTTTGACAACAAAGGTGATTTTTTTTGAGAATATTTTATAGGGTACTTATAGGATGTATTATAACCAATATGAGTCTTTTATAAAAACACTAATTTTTTCAATTTAGTTCATGGAATATAGCAAGCGAGATAAGGCAACCTGACCAAAAATTAAATACTATGATAAAGTTTGCATTCAGCTTACTGGAATTCCACAGCTCGACTTATATAAGGAAATCATCTACCCAGTAAACTTACTTAAGTTTACTGACTAGGTAAAATACTAAGTATTCTCAAAAGTAGAGAATACAGCCTTACGGGAAGAAAACAAGCACCTGTTCAAACCCAAATGATATGGTTAAACTGCAAACAGGGTTTTGAAGAAGGTAATCTATCGAAATCTCTCATAAAAATGGGTTATGAACAATAATAAACAAAATATCCAAATATTGATATAAGACTTCGCCGTCACAGTATTAAAATACTTTCATTCTCATTCAAATCCCTACAGATTTTGGTGGTGCTGCTAAATTTTCTTGAAAAGTTATTGTATCTAATGTAAATTTTAAAAATTTGTATGGGGAAAATGGACCATATTCTACTATCCATAACAGTCCAAACAATAACAAGAAACCTTAGTGCATAAAAAGAAAAATAGCAGACTATATTACCTATCATATATGTCATATCTTATAAGTATATAGATATACCGATATGCAATGTGTTATTTAAAGGTTTTGATTGGCTAGGTTTGAGAAGTTGGTGATTAAGAATGCTTTTTTTGAGTTGCTAACACATTGTTTTCTTGAGATGATAGGTATCATGATATTGATATTTGATTTTCTCAGTAGAATATAATAGTATTGATTTTTGCTTTTTTTTGTGACAATACAATCCTGATTGAATTGATTTTCCTTTTTGAGAGCAATATAATTATAATTATATTAATTTTTGTTTTTCTTTACACGATATCAGGGTATTGATTTTTGCTCTCTCCATAATTAGTAGGTTTTGGTATTATCTTCTGCTTGGAGATCCTCCTCCTCCTCCGATTCCATCCTCGAACCTGTCTCAACTCTGCCATATTCAAAGTCGTTCCTGAACCCAGACCCGAGCCGTTAGAATTAGCAAGAGATTTTTTGCTGATGAAGTATTAATAGACCAACGTGAATGCAGGTAAAATCAAAATTAAAAGGTTATTTTTGTTAATTTTGAGTATACCCTTCCTGGGGCTATATTCTCATACAGAATTGCACTAAAATATAATATATGATGGATTATCCTCTCCGGCCGAAGGCCGGCAACGACTTGTAGACTCTAATACAACTACCAGCAGGGTAGGCATCCCAATCATCATTTTTTTCGGGTGCATATATGCACCCAAATTGCTAAGTTACGGTCCATGGGATAGGAAGATAGAAGATGGGAGATGGGAGATGGGAAGGGGAAATAACCGGAAGATAGGCAAATGGGAGAGGACGGGGGAAACGAACTAGATGTAGCTCTATATCCAGAGACTGTTATACAGTATGTGGTATTGATACTCACTCGAGTGGGTAGCAAACCTAGAACCCTATTTTCAGTCTCTATCCAGATGCTACCACAGTGCTGTAAGTTTGACCCTCTATTATGTGAGATTTTCTCTAAATCCGCAATATCGAAACCTGTATATATATCGAGATATCCGACTCCGTTTACCATGCAGGGGTTCAGCTGGATGGCCACATGTATAACCGCCCCAACGTAACTCCAAAGCGAGGTTTTTAAAGCAGAGAGAGATGAAATACCTACCTCCTACGAGTCCATCATCTGGCCATTACCCCTCATCCCTAAGCGCACCAGCGATATTAATGCCGGGTGGCCGTCTCGCTCCCAGCGACCATTCTGAGTGTTTGTAGCAGACGTAACGTGTGTGGCTCGGGGTTCAAAGGCGTTGACTTCCCTACAGATATATTCCGCATAGCTGCAGACGAACTTGTATATATGGTGTAGCTCTGATGCAGGTGCGTAGGGACATGCGGAAGTAGCATGGCTGTGCAGAGCCGACGTGGGGCGCCGGTGCAAGCGTAATCGTGCAACGTCTCACTTCCAGCGCCGTAGTGCTGGGTTATGCGTGCTACATGTACCGGGGGTTATGGGTTTGTCTGAAGAACCTTTTTTTTGGCGTATGATTGGTTGAAGCTGCAGAAAATGATACTTGGCGCCAGAAAAAGTACTTGAATAGGCTGCCCCCATATTTTGCAATGCAACCTCCAAGACCGCAATTTGACTGTCATTTGCACCCAACTTCATCAGAAAACACTCCCCACAAGGGTTTATGAGCTCAAAATATTATCTAGGGGAAGCTGGGAGCCAGCGCTATTCTGCAGTTATTTTTTTGTATTTTTAGCAAAATATTTAGATTTTTGAGTAGAGATATATGAAAGTTCTTCAGACTTTTTTCCCCCATACAAATTTGGTGCACTAAGGCCGGTGTGATTGATGGTAATTGGTTGCTCTCTATAAAATCCCTGCATTTTCAACCAATGAAGCAGAGTTCTTCAGATTAATGGTGAACACCCGGTACACCCCCGCACCCCCGCACACGCTATCCTACGGAGAGGCTCGAAACAACAGCCGTAACACTCGGCCATCACAGAATTCAAACAATATGAGCCCACCGATTAACAGTACCACCGCTAGTGCTAAAGCAGCTGATATATAAAATGGGCACAAAGCCCGGTATCTATTCCCCGACCGCATGTTAATTGCCGCGCCGCTATGCATGTTCTGGTATGTCGCGTTTCGCCGTTATATCTCGCTGCTGACGCTCACGCTGGAAGAAGAAGGGTTTATATCGCGATGTCACCGCTATTTATGCTGCGGTTGCGCAGGTGAAGAAACCGAGCGCCCTTTTCAATTGATGGAGAAGAACACATATTTTCCCCTATAGGCAGACACATCTGGCAGGCAGCACGAGATTCACCTTCTGCCAGAAAACACAGGTGTGCGTAGTAAAGAAGATAAAAGGACAATTAAGCCAACATGGATATATATGAACCAGAGAAATCGCATCACATCTCCACCATCTTTCTACCCACAACCTCTCTTATAATTAGGACTATGGCATCTATTTCACTGTCATTGGTACTCTCAGGGCGTTCCATCACTTATTACCTGTCGCTGCACCGTACATGTATATATCCACGGGATGTATCCCTTTATAATTTTCCGTGCCGGTATAGAAACTCGAAGGGCTACAGACATGAACAGCACCCTTCTGCCAACTGCATGTACTCCTATGGCGAGCTTGCTATCGAGAATATAAAGAACAGCCAAGACGCGCCCTCTCTATTTACGGTTCTCGGGAGAAAACCACAGGGCTATGTAGGTGTCCGCCAACCACTCCGCAGATTCACAGCTGTTTGCCCCCACGATAAAAACATCGACTCCTTCCATCTGGCATTTCCAGCTGTGCTCAAGTGCGACACCAACACCAAGCCCCGCCAAGAGATCCCCCCGCAGGCCCAGCTCGCGTATCGGTCCAGTTTGCAACACACCCACCCACATGACGCACATCACATCATCCCTGATCGACGCCGCCAATCTCAGAGCGTGTGCACCAACCCTTTTCGAGCGAGGTCAATGACTTTTACAGCTGGTACGGTAAGGATACCACTCCCACCAAACACCCTTCTCACCTCACACGCACGCAAAATGGACCTGACGTTGCCATCCTCACAAACTCAGCCAACGGCACCCCTCTCGCGCTCAGCCACAATGTGCTCATAAACGTCGCCGCATCCTTCACCATCACCAACACAAAGTGGCGCATCCTCCCCGCGCACCCTATGGATATCATCGGCCCCGTGCTGATCATACTCGAGGAGAGGAAAGAGTGTGGGCAGGTAAGTGTTGATTATTGTGGTGTGCTTCTTCGGAACCTGTACTGATTTGGCGTGCGCAGTGGTGTGGTGGAGGGGCGCCTGCAGAGTGTGGCGAGGGAGGACCTGTACATGGCTGTGGCGGGGCATGTGCCCATGCCGCCGATCATGTGTAATGTCTCGGCGATCCCGAACGATGGCAATGCGGAGAGGCTCAAGTGGAGGGTCGAGTACAGATAGGGGGACGTTGAATACAGATAAACCGTTTACATACACCGTTCTATGTCTTCATAACCGTGTCTACATCGTGATGTGTATATATGTAGATGTTTCAATGAAGGCCTTAGATGGCTGTACTGTTCAAGTCGGTGATGGATTCCACGTTGGACAGGGCACTTTTCATGTAATCTACAATACATCGACACTCAACACAGCGCAATGCACACAGTCCACAAGGCGGATATACTCAGTATAAACTCCCCCATCTCGCAAGTTTCTCAAAGTATACTCAATCGCACCACCAGTCCATACTCAGCGAACACCACCTTCAACCATAGTGAGTATTTAGTAGAGAGTTAGGTCGGCGGTGTGGTGGTGCGGCGTTGGGACGTTGGAGTTGGATATATGGCTGTTGTGATAGATCCTCTTCATATATTCCTTGAATCCAATATCCATGCATCCATGCATTCGTATTTGTGTTCTATATAGTATAGCCCCTAGGCTCTAATCGTATACTGACCGCGGTGTGTCGAGCTTATTAATGTTCTCAATGTTCTCAACATTGTCAACACCCCAACACCCCAACACCGCGACGCCGCGACGAAAGAGCGAGAAAGCACTACTACATCTGCAGGTCTCGCAGGATGCATCTCATGTGTGTCGTGCAGGATTTATCGTTCATGAATTTATTTTGGGGGGGTCTAAGCTTTTGCGGTGCTGGCGTTGATGTGTCGAGTCCTTTTGTGCAGGCTGGGTTTATTTAGGGGTCCTGTATAGTTACAATGCCACCGCGCTTCTACATATACCGTCCTCTAACCGTGTAGTCCATCTCCTACAGTGTCTACCACAGTTGACGCTCTTACCGAGACGTGTCTAGGGTCTATTCTCTATACCGCGCTCCTACTCTAGAACGACAGGCTCTCCATCGCATGAACAGCGGGAACGAGTGATGAACCATGAGCGAGTGACACAGTATGAGCGAGTGATGGGTAATGATCGAGTGATGGGGGGTGATAAGAGGTGGGCGGGTGGGTGCAGTGTTGTGGCTTGGTGGTCTATGGTATCGAGAGGTGTGTTGGGGTATTGGTACTTATGAAGAGGAATTAGTGCGCCGCGCGGTATCGTGCCCCAGGGAAATACCACTGCTTTCCAAATGATACAAAAGCCGAGACTAAGCGTAAAATTATAATTAGATCTATTAAAAGGTCAGTATATCCTATAGACACACATATCATGTAGTAGATGTATTTGTATCTAGTAAAGTTATCTCTAGTGACCTTTTTATGATTGTGACTCACACTATCTATACGGAATGTGTGAATTGAGCTCGACAACCCTAACAGCTCCCCCGGGTCGACCGGGTTAGAAGCTCCGGGGCCCGTGGGTAGCCTGTAAGGCGGGTTATTTCAGTTTAATAATCAACTATAAGGTTAGAGATTTCAGGACCGTTCTGTAATTGAGGCCTCCGGCCTTACTTCTACTTCTGTTGAAGTACATTCGCTGAGCGTTTATGGTCATTTGTGTTGTTGACGATGACTGTTGACAAGAGGCGAGGTCTAACCTATTCTTTCCATACTACAGCGACGTCTATCTCAAATACCAAGATATATCCTCAACTCCAACGGCTAAATGTCAGCCCAGCCTAACCCATCAGTCTCCTTGCCTATAATAATAATCGGTACGTATATACCGCAAATAACGAACCAGGCCTGGCTGAGACCGGACGAGCGTGAACATTACAAGTTGAAGTTGAAGTTCTTAGTGGATAGGGTGGGGGGTGGGCGGTGCGCCTTGTTCACAACGGCCAAAAGTGTAAGTTTCTGTGGTCTTAACCAGTAAGAGCTAGTACAGGAGGTATATCAGACCGGCCTTGTTCATTACTGCCGAGGTTTCGTGGTGCTTTACTGACATCTTATACCACGACCGAATTGCCTTCATTCTAGCTTTTGTCTATTTCGGGGCCGTCAAGCCCTTTTCGGTATCCAAACAGATTAGTTTTTTCGAGCTCTGTGTATTCAGTCACAAAGAATTTGAAAGGATATACCCTTTGGAAATCTTTGAATTAGCAGCTAGGCGGAAGTCTTGAAGAATTCAGAAGGCGTGTCCTTAACCTGGTCTAGCCCAGGAGTCAGGTTGTAGGATTATCAGCCAGGATACAGATTTGACCAAGCAAGTTTTTCCACAAGCAAGAGGACCCAGGGAGCCGCAAGAGAGAGGAAGATGAACACAGGAAAGGTGTGTAGGGAGGTAATTCCACATTCGACCTGTGCCCTCTATCTCGATAATCTCAACTTCCGCCATTACAATTGATGCTGAAGCTAGCTAAAAAGGCCGGATATAAAAGGTTAGTTTCCGCCAAATCAGATAAACTTCTTTTATGTTCGATAGGGAATGTCGATAGGACTTCATGGTTTCTCGTACACAAAAAGATGATGCTTTCTGGTGAGTTGTCGCGTTGGGCGGTTGTCTCTAAGTGGATGGGTGTGAGCCTTGGTACAGGGTTAGGGTTATCACAGCCTGCAGCGACTCATCACAGCCCTGCGACGACTGAGGAAATGTTCTCAAGGCTGGCGCAACAGATTTGGATTGAGAAGCTCGAAGATGCACGTAATCGTAACATAAGAAGAAATAAGACATGTATCAAGTGCAAGCAGGGTTTTTGTTTTTATTCTAGCTGTGAGTCGTCTTGGCGCCATAGATTTATCGGGCATGATGCCTGCTCTTGTATGCATCATCATCAATTATAATCATAAATTCTTAAGATCGAAGTGATTAGTATTTTTTCACTATATATATTTATCTCGCCACCGGCATTAAGACCGAAGTAAGTCAAGAACCAACCTTTTCACAGAGGCCTTTTTCTGTTAACATTGAAACCTGGCGATTTTAATTTTGGTCTGGATTATTGGTATTCACAAGGAAGATGTTGTGGGGAGAAAGCAAATATACAGCCAGATGATTACAAGTATTCTTAGCTGCTTTGCTGCAATAGTGATAACACTTCTAGAGAAGTCCACCAGAATTACAGCCCAAGAAGATGACTTTGTACGTATCCCAGCTGCAGACTCCACCAGCGCATTTTAATGTATTACCTTTAAGCTTCGAAGAGCTGGAAGCGAGGATACCGATTAATTAACTGGGCGTTGTGTTCACTCTGAAAGAACCAATCGGTAATATTAATCTTACTGACACGCTTGCCTATATTGTCATCACGAAAAGTACGCACTCGTTTGGAGATGAAGCTGCTGCATGCAATAAAAGAATGAGGTTGAAGATGACGTCCCTGTAAGATCTTCGTCGTGGTGTCAGGAGGCCGGGGGAAGTCCTCGCAAAGTCGTCGGAAGAGCGCGAAGTCTTCGGGGGGTTGTAGGATGATATGGTATATATTAGCAATGTTGCATATTATATTGCTCACATGCTTTTGGAGTTGGAGGTGGTCAAGGTAGAGGGGTGGCAAGACCAAGATCCGCTATCCTTTGCACTCTCACCACTCTCCACGTGACCAATATAATAAGTGACTTTGCTAGTATTTACGAGCCCCCCATACAGGTAAAGACACTAAAGGAATCAATGTGAACGTGGGTTGCACGTGGCCCAGCGGTATAGAGCTCACCCTCTGTACCGAACTCGTGCGCGTTCAACCCCCCCTCCGGACGTAGAAAGACGTAGCAACCGAGGCTTAGGCAGTGTTGTGAACTTTTTGCTCTTTTTGTTTTGTTTTTTAAATTATTAATGCCGAGCGGGTTTTTTTTTTATTATTATATGTATATGTAACACTAGGAAACTTTCCAGCGAAACTAATCGTGAAGGTCGTCGGGAAGGTTGTCGCGATAATAGAGATTGGAGGAGTATTCCTTACTAAACGTGTCCATTACTAATGTAGTACGTTCTAAAGGCGTTTTGGGCTGGACTACTCTAGACTGCTGCTTGCGAAATCAAACATGCCAGTCAAAAGATTTACGAGAAGGGTTTGCCAACTGCCGATGTAAATCATCTCTGGATATACGTTAGCGCTAGCCTAGAGTTAACCATGATTTGAGACCTCAAGCTAAAAGACGATCATTTGGCGACCTGACTTGAGATCCAGGTTTAAACATACCAAATTGCAAACGTATATAGAGTACATTCGTCCTTCAATTGTCTCTTTCCTGGTGCTGATCTAGCTGCTTACATCTACATGCATCGAGGTACATGAATTTGTTGAACGTTGGCTGCTCATGGGCGGGTTGGCTGTGAAGGGTTCGTGGTCCTGTCTTGCTGTCTTGCTGTCCTTTGTCTCGTTGTCCTGTTTCTTAGTTAGATTGGCTACGGCCTATTCTTTTTCTTTCTTGGCTTACTTGTAACACACTGAATATCATTCCCATCCATCATGATCCGATAACAGAATTTACTCCAGCGGCGTCCAATTATCTTGCATGCCTGTTCTAAGTTGTCTTCTGTTTATGTTCACGCGGATCCTAGCTAGTCGGTCGTTGGTAACTTTAATTTATGTAGACTATGGGACTTTCAGGGCCCGAAAGATCTCGAGGGTACTCGGTGCATGTAAGAATGTCGCGAATTATACACTAGTGCACCTAGGCCCTCTACTCTAGAGTACCCTGGGATGCATACATGTAAGCAATCACCAATACCCTACATCATTACCACGCTCGGAGGAATCCCTTCAGCGCAATTCGCCTTTTCCTTCTTTTTTTACATTACGTAGGTATACCTACCGCAAGATTTGGAGCGTAAAGACCGGGCGCTAGAGAAGATCCTGGTATGTAAAAAGCGCCAATTATTGCTCGGGCCGTGGCGAATCCTTCAGTTTTTGGTGAGAGAAACTTACCAGGAGCTTATTTAACACCCGGGTGCAACGCTCCAGCTTTTGCGATACTCTTGATCAGTAGCGTCCATACATGTACTTGCCTCTAAGATGCACTCTATGATTATTAACACTAGCTACCCAGTACAGAGAGGAATTCTAGTGTGAGCGATCGAAGCTGATGAAGCTGATGAAATGGGCTAGTAGCATAACAATATTCTGTCTGAAGTAGATATAAACGCGTACTTGCATTCCAATACCATGAGAGACAAGCGAGCATGTACCAATCTTCAAATCAGGATACCTACAGTGCCAGGTAGCCATGGCTCAGTATCAATATCCTCCATTGACCCTCCTGCAGCCAATTATGCCGATCATTTCCGTGCCATTTCGAAAATTAAAACAAGCACTATCATAGCCCTGCGCCCTTTCAATCTAGATCAACCTCAGTGCATTGAGGGAATTATAGTTCTAATCACAATATCTACAAGTGTTGGCTGCACCGTACTCGATCTGCGCAGCGGTAATGATATGTTGGTATCACCATGGGCGATTTGCCCGCCTATGTCGGCTAAGTCTTCTTTTCCTGCATGCATTCCATTCCTCTATATATCAAGAAATTTACTGGGACGCTAATAGTGGTTAGAGGCCCCTCAATGCCCGACGTGGGAGATACCTATCTGACTATCAGGAACATTCCTTGATTTTCAACCATCGCTTCACATCCTGCACAAAATCTTTAGCTCAACCTGAACCATGCGACTATCAGCTCCTCGAGCTGCCATGCCTAGCATCTGATCTGGTGACTTCTACTCATAGCTACATGCAGTTGGTCCACGAGTATCCAGGGTAGTCAATGGTGAAGAACTATTCTAGCTAGAGAATGTTACATGGGTCTCAATATTACAATGGCCAACTTCCTCATGCCGTCGGTTGATCACACACAGCTGAAAACGATTTTCATGGGTTCATAGATTGAGGCCAAATGCCATGCATGCAGCCACGATTATTCCTTTGAATCGTGGCCTCATCCAAGCTTAATCCTAAGTGCACGGACGTCGCGTATGAATGGAATCAACATGCAGAGGATGCTCGGAAATGGTACTGCATACTCTGGTAATCCGCACGTTGAGTGATTATGGGGAAACAAGGTTTTCGTCGTCGGAAGCTACATGGTTGAAGTCATCAAGTCAACATGGATTAAAGAGACCTCCCGATTTTCCTCGCCTCTCTTTTGCCGCTCCGAGAAGTGCACCGAGATCCCCGGACTGGGTGTTTTCTAGCTAGCGGCATCTGATGCGAATTTCTTTCGCTTCGGATGACGTTAGAGCACCGGAGGCCAGGGTGAAATCTTGCATGCTCAATCTCGCTCCTTGACAGTGTCAATGACAATGGTAGTTTCGATTCGAGCACACTCACTCCGTGGTCGTTCGATCGTACGCGTACGATACGTAGATATGATCGGCCCCGCATTGTTAAAACTCTCGGAGCTGAGCTCAGACACATTGTTCTGCAGGGCGGCGATCAACGACGCACGGATGAAGATCTATGCATATACTCTAGTAGAGTACATAATGATCGCCTTTGTGCGACCACTCGTAATGCCAAGCCACCTGCTCTTCATAGCCTCTCACTCGGGAGCTTCCAGGAATCCTATATCAATCCCCTCCTGCCCACGGTTTCTCGCATCTCCCTCATTGGTCTCATCACACTCTACGCACTGCCTCTTAACACTCTATCACCGAATATTATCTTTTTCCCTCAATCACCCCATATCACCGCAACCATGTCCGCACCAGCTGGAACCGCAAGAATTATACAGGGAGAGGGAAACTTTCTCACCCAGTTCAACGATAATGCAGTAGTAGGGCTCGGGCAGGAAAGGGAATGGAAAATTCGCCCTGCACACACCAACAATGGTGACGCTATCGTCATTACTCTCAAGGACGACAATAGCGAGGAGAAGTGCCTTACTCTCGATTCCAATTCCGACTCTGATGTAATAAACATTCTTGTGAGGCCACTGGAATCGCCACCAAGACCAGAGCAGATGTGGACCATTGAAGATGCCATTATGCAGCCAAGGTTAGTTTATGTGCACACGACTCTGTTGGCTTTCTAGAAATAACTGCTGATATGCGTTGGCATTGATGATAGGTTCCCACCGATTGTGCACGGTAGGCTACAGAGTGTGGCAGAGCCTGGTATGTCTGCCGCAATTGGGGGTGCGGTCCCGCTGCCAAGGATATTCATGAACGTAGCCGCAGTACCGCACGACGACGGCGACATGGACAGGTTCAGATGGCGCATGGACTACATGAGCATGTCGGACTAGAAGGATCACGAGCATGCCGCTTAAACCCATGTATTTCTTAGTATTGTTAGGAATGGTTTCATTGGTCGGATTTATTGAACGGCAGACTCTAGGGGGGGGGGAGGTTGTTATCCCGAGCGTGGTGTTTTTGTATTGCGATGTAGTAGGTTACAATGAATACAAGTACTTGAGATACAACCCACTTAGCTAAGGTTTATTTTGATGTATACGATTGTGTATGTATCCGGATCCCGCTTTGGCGGATAAGCACATATACCCATTACGCCTTCTGCACACCCAGTACGAAAAAAAAATCATAATCATCGAATTCGCGAATCCTCTGTATCAGCCGACAAGTAGTAAGACGTTGTAAAACCTGGTATTTGTCTAATCTTCAGTGGGTCTTTATTATTATAGCACTCGCACCAAGGTGATATGTCATATTAGAAATTAATTTATTTAACTATCGGTAGCATAAAGGTATACTCATACGAATTAAATTGTCCCGGCTTTAAACTACATACATATAGCTCCTATTCCGGTATTTACAGCCACTCAGCAAAAGTGTTCGTGATATAGTTTTAATGTCAGTGTGCAGTGTGGCGCACCCGTAATACTGATGTTATTAAAGTTGAGATTCGAAACAACGAAAAATATATAATATAGTTCGTGACTATATATAAAAAGAAAATAGGTAGTTGAACTTATTCTTCATTAATTTGGGCGCCATTGGTCACTGAGAAAGTCTTCTTCTGGGGTGTTCTTGATGGTCCACCGCGGTTACATATGGAGAAATGTCTCACTCTGAAATCGGAATCACGAACACTTTTGCAGAGTGGCTGTATATAATGGGCCCCAGTAATATCATCAATGCGGTAATATCAGTCCAACATAGCTCAAGGAATAGCGATTTCACCGCAGGTACGACGCTATCTCTTGAGGACAAAGCTTAGTGGGTTGCAATTGGACTTTACCAATTCCTTTGCCTCAAAAGTTAATTACCAAGACATGAAACATCACTCGACTCATCTGAATCGATCAAATTTAGAACAAATTTAGAAGCCAGTACAGTCGTAATAGGGTACATGTAGTAAAATGAAGAACACGCTGTAATGTATCGCATACATTCCGGTGATTTATAGAGAGCTAGACTCTGCACTCGGCCTTCGGATGCGGCGCCGGTGCCTGAGATTACAGAAACTTTGAACCAGACTATTTCTACCTATGAGGTAGCCCATTTAATTATGTCTTTTTTTAAGCTTTGTTAGCATTTGACTGATCTACTCACTCGGACACTTGGGCATCTGGGCATTCTCCGGAGGAGGTTTGTTGGCCGAGAACCTTTGAAGAATGATTACATCAGACTCAGTCGATGATGCACATGATACACAGCACAGTCTGAAAATCAAACCACCTAGGCCCTTATGACCTTTTAATTGAAACACTATTTCTAAAGCCTAAATGAAAGCTCGAAAGATCTAAAATAGTGGCTTCAACGGCGCGCCTTACCTGTGTTAACTCTCGTTAGACCCGGCCCGCTCTTATTATTATTCTAATTCTGAGTCCGGTTCTGGTTGGTGCTCAATTACCTGCTATACATTTTTAATTCACCCCGTTCCTAAGCTGAGAGCCCATAGCGGTTCAAACAGCAAACACCTAAACTTGCAAACCCTCGCTATTGTGCTACTAGAATTAGTTTCTGTTTTCCCTTAGTATTATTCATGAACTACTTTTTCCCTGTCCTTCACCTTTCTTTCACCTTTCTTGGATTTTTTGGCATATATTATTCATACAGCGCATGGCAAGATTGTAGTAGAAGTACGGGAAGAGTCCTATTGGCTGAGTCAGCCACTTGAACCGCGTTTTTAGACCTCTGTTTCTCTACCTCACGCCGTAGGTCCTTCCAGGCACAATTCATATGCAAGAGTTAGCTTTCGGCACTAAAACAGCACCCATCTTCGCTGTCCGTCACATGACGGAAGTCGATTTTCTGTAGTTTTATCATTGACACGAGTGATAAACTGTGAGTATAATCTACAAGGCCGGAACGCTGGGCAGTTATTGAGGGGAATAATGGGTGTTGTGGTAGTTATAGAGCGGCATAACAGTATCTCGGGACTAGAGTGGAGTTCTGGTAGCGTGTGGGGGCGACTATTCGCACGGTGTGGTGGTGTCGCTATGGTTTTAACGGCTCGGGGGCAATTCCTGGATGGAATATTAGTGGAAGTACCATGTAGAGAAAGTATGTAGGAGAAGTAAAGTAATTGATCGTGTTGATTGTGCTAGCTAAGGGGGAATGCCCCGTATTTATACTGATGAAAGGTAGTACAAAAGAGATACAATGAGTCATGGACGTGTGAGTAATAGAATGACTAATAGGAAAGTGAGTCATGCGCCGATGACGAATACTATAATGAAATGATGAGAATCTTCCAGAACTATGAAACGTGCCGAGCGCCCTATTTCAAGACCATGAAGAAGGGTGGGGAATTATGCGTGAGTTATACGCTACTTCTCTCCGTTTGCTTAGCTTTTGCCTGTATATCCTCATCTCATTTTTTCCAGGAAAACTAAGGCAGCGGCGTGCGTGTATACGTATGTATGTGTCATACCTTTAGATATACTTATCACCTTCTGTACCGCTGTATCTCGTAAGCACACTTATATCCAGCTCGTGAATACGCGGGAAAAGTATTAACTGAAAATAACGGGACTCTGAGTCGTTTTCGTTTACGGTGGGTTAGATGATAAGTACGCCCTCGAGTATTATTTCACTCATGACGATCTGTGGCCTTATCGCTCACCCTAAAGACCGAGTGATAATCACTTTATGTAGCACAGGGATATACATATAGCGATCGGCGGACGGTCGTGGCTACTAATTATCCTCCGATCTTTGGTGAGATCTTTTTCGCAGCGGCATTGAGAGCTCCCCGACGTTGGAGTGGCTCTCGGAGCTCAGTTCACATACAAAAAACAAGATTTCTTTAGCTTCGGGCATGAGGATTAAGATTTATTCTAACTCGGATATCTTAATTCGGAGTACGATATCGTATTGCGGGGTCCGTTTTAGGAAATGGAGTGTTTCGGGGTTTTTATTGACGTTTGTCGGGAAGATAATGTTCTAGACCCTGCGATGAGCATCTTACTACTCGTAGGGGATGGGCGCGAGGAAGATATATGAGTTTAAGGCCATCTGTGTAATACGTTCGTGAATATGACATTGTGCTTGATAGCTCATGTCGGTGCGGTGAGCGGGGTCATACATGTATGTTGATAGTTGTTTCCAAACCAGAGAAATGATATGCTAATAGAGCTTAAGTTGCTGAATTCGAATACATTTTAAATTTAGATAATGGGATCGACGAAGAATAACTGAACTGATTGAGATAAAAAAAACGTTCATATACTCCTGTTGAAATACAGGCAGCGCTCTTTCTTTCACTCCTTTGTCCGATCCTGAAAACCTTCTTGACTACTCTTCCTCCTGGGTCAATTTAAATACCTTTCATGACTGCCCGATATTCCTCCACTATCCGTTGTCTCATCCCACCACGTGCCAGCATTTATTCCACCATACATTTCCCCCCAAAATATCAACTTAACTATACCAAATCACACACACACATATATTTATACTAAATATAGTCAACATCCCTAATACCTCTCAAAACAGAACGCTCGATTGAGAAATAAATCTCCCACCTCTCGAACCTACTCCACGGGTGTACTTGCGGAGGATGGTGGTGCAAGCTTATCCCCCTTCTGCTCGTTGATGTTATTGGTGGGTCGACTAGAAGCCTTTAATGATAGTAGTTCTACCACCTTGTCGTGACCATGCCTCTCTGCCAATGAGAGTGGTGTTTGGCCTGAGGTGCTCGCTATATTGACGTCTACATGACTATCCCGCAGAAGCAGTTCTACCACCTTGTCGTGACCATTCTCCGCTGCCCATGAGAGTGCTGTTTGGCCCCTGTGATCTGCTAGATTGACGTCCACACGACTATCCCGCAGGAGCAGTTCAACCACCTTGTCGTGACCCACCTCCGCTGCCCATGAGAGTGGTGTTTGGCCCGAGGTACTCGCCATATTGACGTCCACACGACTATCCCGCAGAAGCAGTTCTACCACCTTGTCGCAATCCTCCAACACTGCCCATGAGAGTGGTGTTTGGCCCCTGTTATCTGCCCGATTGACGTCCACACGACTATCCCGCAGAAGCAGTTCTACCACCTGGTCGCGACCCTCCTCCGCTGCCCATGAGAGTGGTGTTTGGCCCCTTTCATCTGCCCGATCGACGTCCACACGACTATCCCGAAGAAGCAGTTCTATCACCTTACCGTGACCCCTCCTCGCTACCCATGAGAATGGTGTTCGGCCAAGGTCATCTACCAGATTGACGTCCACACGGCTATCCCGCAGAAGGAGTTCTACCACCCTATTGTGACCCTTCTCTGCCGCCCATGAGAGTGCTGTTTGGCCCCCGTTATCTGCCCGATTGACGTCCACATGACTATCCCGCAGAAGCAGTTCTACCACCTTGTTGTGACCCATATCCGCTGCCCATGAGAGTGGTGTTCGGCCCGATTTACTCACTATATTGACGTCCACACGACTATCCCGCAGAAGCAGTTCTACAACCTTGTCGCAACCCTTCTCCGCTGCCCATGAGAGTGGTGTTTGGCCCCCGTTATCTGCCCGATTGACGTCCACACGACTATCCCGCAGAAGCAGTTCTACCACCTTGTCGTGATCCCCCTCCGCTGCCCATGAGAGTGGTGTTTGGCCCCTGTCATCTGCCAGATTGACGTCCACTCGACTGTCCCGCAGGAGCAGTTCTACCACCTCGTCGTGACCCTGCCCCGCTGCCGAAGAGAGTGGTGTTTGACCATCCGTATTTAATTCGTTTAACATTTCCTTCGAGACCATTGTAATATTTGAGAAATCACAAAGCCTGTAATAACATGCGACCCACGATGGAGAAACAAAACCATCCATTGATTTTTTGAAATCTAAGCCATAATTCACGGCCTCAGAAACCCATTCGTCATACGCTATCGACGGCGTTAAAATCCCCATGCATAGTTTATAGAAAATACTAGTCTTGGGGGGAGAGCCTGATAACTGTGCGTGTACTCCCCAATGTTGCGTTGCATAATCCAAGAGATTCTCCACCTTACATGGAGTTTCGAGCTTTCGATGATGATTGAGAAGCGCTTTCAGGCAGATCTCTGCCATGTGTGAATGGTTTCCGAGGTCGTTGTTGAACTTGGGGTTTCTAAGCAAATACTCCTGTACCGAGAAGTGTGCGAAGCGAAGTTTTCCAAGTCCGCTGTCTTCCACAACAAGGTTCTTGCAGCAATCAATTATGTATGACGGCGTCAACTCGAGCGCATCCTCATCAAACGGATTCTCTCCAGCACCCACAGCAAGAGCTTGTGTAATAGTTTTAACTGTGCATGGCTCTCGGGCATAGAGCAGCCACTTTAACACAAGTTTTGCGGTGTTATTAGAGCTTTCTTTTGCTTCGATCTTCTCTATGATCCGATCATATGTTTCGTTTAAATCTTTTGGCAATTGATCAAGGGCCTTTCGAACAAGACCGGGAGTTGGCTCCTCGCAAAGAGCTAATATCTGTAGGTTCACCCACATGAACCTTGTAGTTATTGATGTCAGATCGGCCAACTCCTCAAGTTATATCACGGAGAAATACATACATTCCGTTGGCCTTTATTTTGAGGGTGTGGCGAATCTCTTCCTTTAGCGCCTCGTTAACTTTTCCTTCAAGCAGAAGCTTTTCTGCTCCATATCTCCGGGCATCACAATGTAAATTGAGCTGCAAATCAATATAATTATTGATATCCTGAGTGTTGTCCGATGCTTGAATGTAATGACATTTATAGCCCTCAAACATAAGAGCTATGTCTTGCTCAAATCGGCTTGCCAAAAACACCTTCACATTGCTCCCCGATTTTACTATTGACCTGAGGGATAAGAACAACTCGCGTCGTGTTTCATTGTAGCATTCGTCCAGAGCATCGACAATGATAGTAACTTGATGGTACATTCTCGATAGATTTATGATAAGATCAGTGCTTTCCTGGCACCGCAACTCACCGGACGCATGACCGTCACGTTCCCGTTGCACATATATTGAGGAGACAGGCAGTGGGACAAAATTCGGGTCTCCGGGGCTTTTGAGACAAAACTGTTTGACGAGAGTACGTAAAACCGTTTCTGGCCTCCTTCGGTTATCTTCCTTGTAATTGCAATAAAAGTATGCTAACATGTTTTCATTGCTTTTAGCTTGAGTTTGTAATTCGTCAATAACGTAGGAGCTACACGTACAAAGAGTTAATTAAAATCCTATGTGAAAAAAAGGTTCACTGACTATCCTTACATTAAAATAGTTTTTCCGTATCCGGCTAAGAGGTAAATGACTGCATTTCAGCAAAGGAACGCCATGAGTCACGGGCAAATAGCTGAACTAACCGTCCCCACGTAGCCAAAGAAGTGAAGAAGATTTAGAATTCTTCCACTCCTTGTAAGTTTCATTTTCCTCTAACCACTGGCCAGTTTTCTCCTGACGACGCTCCCTTGAAAAAGTGTGATGATCAATAAACTTGATGTCGGATAGCCAGCGCAAAATATTCAATTTTCTATCCCCTGTTGCTACGCATGTCAGCACAACAAGAACCGTCAAACGGGACGATATCAGTTGGTCACTTGCTTTCAATTGCCTCGTACACCATTTTTACTGCGGTTTCAATCTCTTCAAGGGGTTTCTTTATGTCTTCTAGTTGTTCTTTTAGCCTCTCCGTTTCTTCCCTCCGTTCTGTCCAATAGTAAGCTGGTTAGAGAATCTATAGGGTGAATAGCTTGAGGGGGCAATGGTCCAATATATACCAGTTCGTTCTATTGCCGATGCTAAAGATCATGAAGAGTTACAATCTCGTTTCATACCAATCTAGAAGAACGATTTCTGTACAAACCTTCTTTCTCGACCTTGTCGACATATGATAATACCGTGCTTTCCTTCTGTTGAACGTTCTTCAACAGCCCCTTCAACTCTGAGACGAAACTCGCGAGTACGCGTTCTTAGGAAGAGACATGTTTCAGTATATCTCTTATCTCACCAAAACGGCTCAGTTGGTGACCAACCTCCAGTATCCTTGCTGAGGAATCTTTTGATATAGCAAAGATATTCCAGGATGGAAACATATAGTTCGACAAGCGACGTATTAAGGGGCTGGACTGTAAGAAGACCTGTTTCACAGTACAGTTTTTCATAGATATCGCAGCAGAATAATACGCGCAGCAGGTATTCCAAGCTTTCCGAAGCGGTCTGCATATCCTTTGTGTAGGCCGTTCCAACCTAAAGGCTCAAGTAAGATAATGAACTAGTACAATAATCAAGATCTTAAAATTCGTTGAACACACCTGTAAAAGAAATCGGAAGCCTGACCACGCCAGTGAAACAACATCAGGATGGTGCTGAAGAGCAATATCGCCTATGTTCGCATATTTATTGAGCTGTGTTACAAGGCCGTCAAGTAAGAATACATTTTTCCCCCTGCTGTTAGTATAAAACCACCTCTTTTTATCACATTCCTCCTGTTTCTTCTCTATCTCCCCAATGAAACCTTCGACTAGATTAATATTGTCCCTAGACCCAGAAATACTCTTTCGATCTTCCTCTTCTAGCTTATCCACGGCCTGGCTCCATAGGGTTGAGGACCTAGATACGTAACGATGTCAGTGTACTCTTTTACTTCATATCATAATCCCATAGTCATACTTAATAGCTATAGTAGTAGTGGCTACCCTATTCCTATCGGGAGTAGTAGTGGCTACCCTATTCCTCTCGGGAGTAGTAGTGGCTACTCTATTCCTATCGGGAGTAGTGGTGGCTACACTTTTCCTATCGAGAGTAGTAGTGGCTACCCTATTTCTATCGGGAGTAATAGTGACTACCCTTTTCCTATCGGGAGTAGTAGTGGCTATACTTTTCCTATCGGGAGTAGATGAGGGTATTGGACAATTTCGCGTAGATTTTACCGACCTTCGTATATATTAGCACGTTAACGTATCATTAATCATTAATAAAATCCATACCTCAAAGCTTCTATTGGAGCAGGTTCAAGTTTTATGAGAGGCAAAGGTCGACCTGGGTCACTCACAACCGGCGGTGTAATCGCAGGGGGACTCTCAATGGAATCTGAAGGCCCAATGACACTGGCATGCCCGTTAGACACGGCGGTTTCGAGCAGAAGAAGGAATTGATTTGATTTACTTAACAGAGCTTTGTATTTCCGTACTCTCCGCGAGGAGTTGACTACTAGGTGGGTTATGTTAGAAGCTATAGCTTCGGGCTATAGCGGAGATGAAATATTTTTACCTGGAAATAGAGTTCCGTATTGATATATTTGAATGACGACGCTGCTCCCTACTAACTTCAGAACTACCATATGTTAGACGAGGCGAGTACTGGAACCGAGGTAAAAGACTAAATTTACCTGGCAGCGGGACCTGGCGTTCCCGAGTCTGATTCAATTATGGAAGCAGAACTTTTTTTACGGGAAAGCCACCGGGGGCGTTGAACTTTTGAGAGGAACGGCATTGTGGCCTGCTATAATGCGATGATATGTGAATGTTTCTTAGATAATATAAATTAACTTGGAGCTTGTTGTAGTCGAAGGTAAGCTTGAGAAGGGGGGGACTCCGCTTATTCCATGCGCAGTGACAACAAAGCTGAGATATGAGTACGAACCGGGCCGGGCTGAGGCCGCAGGGCCGTATTTCTCAAATGGGCGTTGAGCCTCAATCACCACCGAAAAAGCAAATTTCCTGGTTTTGACCAGTGACAGTACAGTATTCCAGCTTGGCCCCGCTCGTTATTGTCGAGTTTTTGCGGTATCTGCATGCACGTCGCGCGGGGACATGCGTAAATCCGTGTCATTCCGCCTTTGTACTACATACTCTAGGTACTCACGACCGGTCAGTATTAGGACTGGGTCGAGGACCCATCAGTCGTAAAAGGTAATGACCTGGTCGGGGTCGTATCATCAAGTTATGGGAAACTTGAGAAATGTCTGTATTTTTTCTAGTAGAACCGCCTTTCTTGGCAATATTGATAATTGATAGACGAAGACCCTGTCCCATCAAAATCGTCTACCCAAGATAAATCGTTAGGGCCCCCGGTCGTTACCAACGCTGACTCACATAGAGAAATAGGTAATTACAGGTGCAGCCTTTGCGCTGGCCGGTCGGTCCAGCGTATATACTCGTGTGGCATAAAGAACCAAAACATTCCACCCACAAAATATCGGGATACAAAAGCCACCGTCAAGCAGTGCCATATTAACAAAATCATTGACTTTTAGTTCTGTGATAGATAGAACTGTGTATACGCTTCAAAAAGAGATTAAAAATATCTTTCTATATGTTCTTTTGTAGATTTGTGTGTTGTAATGTTGACCCTATGGTTGGGGACGCTGTTGGGCACATTTGTCGTTAAGGGATTTATTACGCATTAGTCAGCACAGAATGTGTAAAAGTGGACAATCCCTTTGTAAAGGTGTCCGCAGCGGTATGACCTTATAACTAGCTTGCTATCTTCCTGTTCATCACATATCATCATCCTGTTTGTTCTCGGTTTTCTTAATTAAAGTTTTATTCATTCTACGTATTTTCGTCTTGAATCGTCGTTGAGAAGAAAATAGAAACAGAGAGTGAACACAACAGCCGGCCAACAACGCCTGTAACCGGAGTACTTGTGACATTGGTTTCTGAAGATCATTTCTTAATCGGGTAATTATTTAATGATTTTAGGCCGAGATTAAGTGCCAAGATATGCCAAAACTGAGGTTTGGCACCGCAGACCCTCTAGGTTTACCTGATTGGGACAGACATGTCCAAATCGGGTAATGTTTCTGTCCCAAATAGGCAATTATGGAGTGACATTCGTTTGGCTCCCCACCAAAAACCCAACTTTTAGAAAATTAATAACTCCACCACAACAAAAGATAAAATTAATCTGGCTCTATTAGGTTGTAGAGAAGAAGCAGGGCTATCACTTAATAGAGAGAAAAATAATCTAGGGTGTGGTCGGGGAAAGTCATTAGCAGTTGAGGTTGACCCCCGAAAGTGGTCCGGTTACAGGCGTCCCCAACCATATGATTTTCGTGAACCATTTAATATTTACTATTCTAACTAGAATAGAAAGACCTGATGATCCTAAAACAACTACAATCCATTAATAATTCGTTAAGCTGTTTGATTTTGAAGTCTGGCAGTCAGATTTGGTGCACGCTTGCGTAGACCTCATAATAATAAGTCACATGACCGATAGAATTGTCGGCATTGTTAGTACTGATTGGAACCGTGACACGTGATGACACTTGGCAAACAACCCAGCACGTATGTGTAGACCAATACAATGTAGGTACAAGTCCCCGCCATTCAATATCGCAACTTTGACAGTCTCAGCGCGGTCTGCTCCTCCAGAAAACCGAGATGGAATCAACTTCCCCCTCGTGGACGGCACGTGCCAAAATAGCTCTCCATTCCACCACTACGCGCACGATTACACGCTTTACCCACTTGAGCAGGACAATAAGCTCAAAGTCAACCACAGGCTTCCGTCCCCTACCAGTTACACTTTTCACCCTGGTCACATATCTCAGCCTTTTCACTGCATTGATCTGGACCGACCGTCGAGTTCCTGGTGTTGCATCACGTAGTGAATTGGATCGTTGGGGTGTCAGTGTTGACGAGGCGTTCAAGGATCTTGAGTTTCTAACAAGGACCCACCACCCGTACAACAGCAGATCAAACGATGGCGTTAGAGAATACCTGCTAGCTAGAATTCAACAAATTCTCTCGGAAAACGGTGCTGGAGGCTTCAACGGGAGTGATTTGGTGCAGCTTGGGGATCGCTATCATGGCACGGTAGAGCTTATCAATGACGGTGCGGACTCAACGAAGGGAAGCAATGCTACATTTTTCCAAGATAGGCTCGGCAGTACTGTAAGCCAACTATCCATCATAGGCCGCCTACGACCTTCTTTAATAGCTTGCATAGGTGTATTTTGAAGGAACGAACATCATGGTTTACATACACGGCGAAAGACCAGCATCAGAGCTCTCGCCTGCTCTCGTCAATGCCCACTATGACAGCGTTTCCACAGCGCCTGGTTTGTTCCCAAGTCGACCGCCTCCGAGAATCAAGCTCCCATGCTGACAGACAACCTCGAAATCAGGCGCTACTGACGACGGAGTTGGCATTGTCTCCGTGCTTCAGATTGTCAAATCGTTCACTCGTTCAGAGGCGAAGGGTGGAAAAAGGCTACAGAGAGGACTTATTGCATTGTTTAACAATGGAGAGGAAGATGGCTTGGTAATTAGTGGATTCACGTCCTATCCTTGATTTCCAAAGTTAATATAATGCAGCACGGTGCACATGCATTTGCCGCGCATCCTCTCGGACGGCTCCCCCGTGAGTATTCCTTCTGTGTCTTTGTCATGGCGCTTGGCACGTCGTGGTCTTTGATATTTCCGTATTCTTCGCTGACCGATCGTCGTCCTTCTAGATATGCTCTTGAACCTAGAAGGCGCTGGTGCCGGCGGAAGAGCTACACTATTTAGATCGAATGATTCTGCGGTGACAAGGTTTTATCAGAAAGGGAAAAGGCCTTTTGGCACAGCAATGAGCAACGATGGGTGGAAACTCGGATTAGTTCGGTTCGTGTTAATCCATCAGGCATTGGCTTTCAACTTGGAACTTATTGGTTTGTTTCGATCAGGAGCGATACAGACAATTCATTCTTTCACCGGTATCTCGGTATGAGAGGCCTTGATGTGGCCTTTTACAAACCGCGGAGTCGCTATCATAACATCGACGATGATATGAAGCATAGTAAGACCATACGATCCTCCTCTCCGGTCTTTTCCCGCTAACCATTCTACAGCTAGCAAAGGTTCAATCTGGCATATGCTCGGGGGCTCTCTTTACACGCTACGCGCAATGGTTGATGATACTAGCAGTGAATTTGATCAGAATGGAGGCCCAGGAAAGGGCAAACCAGGTGTTTGGTTTGATCGTACGTACCTATTCATTTTCTTCCGTTGACTTTAAACTCACGGGTATAACATAGTTTTTGGCCAGAAAATGGCAGTATTCGACCTGGAAACCTTGTTTATCTGGACCATAGTTCTGATCGTCATTCCATCGTGCGTCGTTGCTGGGGGAATCTATGTAAACCGCGGCAAACTTCCTACAATTCGTGGTGTCTCCCGATTTCCAGTCGCCCTTGTGCTCGCAAGTGGCCTTTCCATGATTGCTGCCTTGTTAATCCATAAGGTCAATCCGATGATTGTATACTCATCCTCAGACTCTGTATGGGCAACTGTGTTGGCTGTCTGGTGGACAGTGTCGTGGCTGATACTCCGAGGAGCGGATGCAATTAGGCCAACCGCGCTTGCCCGAGGATATGCCTGCGTCGAGATGTTCATGTTTTGGTTCGTAGGCATGATTGCGGTGGCATATGGCAGTTCGTCTGGGGTAGGTTTGGCCAGCGGATATTGGGTTCCCATTTTTTACCTGGGAGCATTCCTGGCTTCCTGCATCTCCCTCTATGAAGTGAGTGTACTGCGACGGAGAGACGGACAAGAACCAAGCAACACAACAGGTCACTTGTCGATTAGTTCCACGGAGAACGCGATCCCATCGACCCCCGGATCGGCCCCGAGAGCTTCGCATGACGGAGATGACTCGCCTGCCACCGAGACAACCCCCCTTTTCCGGAGCACCATCGATACCTCTGCCCGCTTCCGGCACATCCGCTCCAGCATTCCGCCACCGAAAGACGAGGACATCTACGGGTCCGAAGAGAGCTGGAGCAAAGACCTCCCAACCTGGACCTGGATCCCACAGTTCCTCTTCGCGGTCCCTCTGCAAATCATCTTCTCCGGCCAAATCTCCCTCCTCCTGACCGCAGCGCTCGAGCAGACCGGCTGCGACGGCGGAAACACGGCAGTGCCCTACATGATCATCGCCGTCTTCGCCACCGTCCTGCTCCTCCCCATCGCGCCCTTCCTCCACCGCATCACCCACCACGTCACCATCGCCCTCATCGTCGTCCTCGTCGCAACAGGCCTCTACAACCTCACCGCCTTCCCCTTCTCCTCCAGCGCACGCATAAAGCTCTTCTTCAAACAGTCCGTCGACCTCCGCACCGGCGAGAACCTCGTCCACGTAATCGGAAACCCCGCATTCGTCGAGCGCGCAATAAACTTCATCCCCTCCGCCGCCACAGGCGGCCTCCACTGCGCACCCGAAACAGAGTACGCCCGCTACCAGACACAGACGCGCTGCTCCTGGCGCGGCCCCGCACCCAATGTCGCGCCCACGGTACCCGGCGCAGCCGGTAACGGGACTGCCGCATGGCTCGAACACAGCGTCACGAAGCTGCGCGATGGCGAGGCGCTGGTATCGCTCAAGGGCGCGAATACGCGCGCGTGTAGGCTCTTCTTTGATAACCGCAACATCACAGACGTAGAGGTGCGGAACGGCCGTGGAGCGCCAGGACAGAGGGCGCCGAGGCTGGGGAACCCGATTCCGGAGATGGGGTCGCGGCAGGTGAGGCTTTGGAGCCGGGAGTGGGGGCGGGGGTGGGATGTGGAGGTGTCGTGGGGTGGGGGGATTAGGGAGAAGGGGGTGGAGAAGGATGAGAAGGGTGGGAAGGGTGGGAAGGGGACGTTGGAGGGACGTATCGTATGCTTGTGGAGCGACGTGAACGAGAGGGGTGCTATACCCGCTTATGAAGAACTCATGACGCATCTACCGGCGTGGGCGGTCATAACGAAAGTTGGTATGTATTGCGCTCTATATCTATCCCCTTTACAAACCGCGGCAGATACTAATAAAGTAACAGACGATGGACTCGTCGAGGGATGGGTGCCGTTTTCTGTCTAAGCGCGATGCAGACCCAGGGGGGGGGTGGTATGATATCGTTATGTTATGTTATGGCAAATTGTTTTTTTTGTTTTTTTGTTTTTGTTCTCTTCTTCTTTTCTCTCTCTGTGTTGTAAGCGCTTTCTTGTGGATGTGTGGGCGTGACGATGCGATGGATCTTTGAGGACTTGTTGCAGCGCAGATTTCTTGACTTGGTTTGGCTTGGCTTGCTAGTGCGTAGCGGATGTAATGAATTGAAGGATATATCTTGATTCTGGACGTCTTTGGTTCCCTGGCTACTGTGAATCTGCTCGGCTCTGGCGCGCGGGGAGTCAGGTGCTGCTTTCTTTAACCCCCTATAATCCTGTGTAGGCATGGCATGAGTGATACTCTGTGATCTCACTCGGTACTGTCATGCCCCAAGCCGAGACGAACTGCTTTGTATATTCACAGGACATCACTCGGTCTTGGCAGTACATAATAAACAAGGCGCAACAAATGTACGGTAAACAGGATTCGAGCACGCTAGCGCCCCAGGAATAACCCGAGAGGCATAATAGGCGTCCAGGGGCATATCTAGAGGGAAATTCTCGGCTTAATTCTCGATATTCGTGTTTATGCAGCAATTCCTTTCTTTTTTTTTTTTCCCATTACCAGCTGGTATTTATATATATACGATTCCATAAATTCCCCTTTCCCTTTTTTTTCATGACGGTGTGCTACATACAGTAAGATCTCATAACATACATTACAATAACCAAAATTGCCATTTCCCAATCCACTCCACTGCAGTACAAAACTAGCCCAAGTTCCTGACAGTGCCGTGCCTGATAAAGCCCGATAGGCCACCAGGTACCTCCTGGTATGCGCTCCACGTATACAGGTCTGCACTGTCGCTGTAGATGTACTTGCCACTGTCGTATCCATCTGCAAACAGCCTATATTTGCCATCCGCCAGTGTTGTGATACATGGGCCCTCTGCTCGTCCGAACCCTGCAAAGTTGCCTGTAGATGTGTTAGCACTGATGGGGTGTTTCGGGGTGAGGCGTAAGTACCAGTTTGCACGAAGGTCCATGGCCCGGCGAGGTTATAGGCGACGGCGTGTTCGAGGTACTTGCTCGTCTCGTTCTTGGTGTATGCATGGTACATCCCGCTCTCCTCATCCCAGACGACGAATGTGTCAATATAGTTCGGACCAATGCCACTCATGGCAACCGGCCCGGTCCAGCTTGTGAGTGTCGCGTCTGTTGCGGTGTACAGGTAGGGATTGAAGGTGGTTAGCGACTCGCCGAGAGAGACAATGATGTTGGTTTTCCCCGTGCGCGGGTCCTGGAAGATCTCGGGCGCCCAGGTACGGGCCTGAGCGGTGTCAGAGATGCTGACGGTCGTGTGCAGTGTCCAGTCGAGGAGGTTGCTGCTGCGCGCGATGGCAAAGTCACGGCCTTCCCAGTTGGTCGTGTAGGAGACATAGTAGTAGCCATCGGTGTGGCGGATTATGCTAGGGTCGCGAATAAGGCCGGTCGTAGGGGTCTGTGCAGTGTTAGTACGAAAGAACAGGAGAGATAGCGTAGAAAAGGGACAGACGTAGGCAGGCCCTTTAACGAGATTGAAGTTGAGGCCATCAGTAGAGTTGTAGATGTACATGTTGCCTATGTGGGTTAGTACATGGAGGTACTCGTAGAATACGCGGGGCCGGGGGACGTACTCTCGCTGGTGGAGGTGAAGACGGAGAAGACGTATATGCCCATTGCCGACTGCATGAACAGCGCGCAAAGCACTGCGAAGGAGGTGATTGACCGCATAGTATCCTAGTATTACTGCTACTTCCTGAATCCTGAGTGGTTAGCTGTGAAGAAAGGAATGTGGGATTGGAAGGGGGGGAGGATGCGAACCTATATACAAGTCCAACATTCCTCTTCAATTCCTCATTCGGGACAACATCACCCCCTGCCTTCGTTGAAAATCATGGTACCATACGACGCACTCCCTGGTATCTAGCGAGAAAGCCCCTCGGCGAGAGAGAGAGAGATCTGGATTTATTTGCCAAAATTCAAGACGTATAACGTATTTGGCGCTGCAGCGGGACCAGCATCCAGAGTTCGGACCAATGCGAACCGGACGGCAATACTCGAGAACTGTGTAGCGCCTTCCCGGATGAACTACCGGGCTGGGAGAGATAGAATTGGAGGAGATAGAATAAGGATGGGGCGCAGAAGATGCTCAATGCGATGATGGTATATACTGGAGATATTCTGCCTAATGTGTGATGGGTGCATGTCGATCCTGTGGCGTATGGGAGGACAGGGGAGGAAGGCGGCTGGCCCATCTTTAGAGCACTGTACCTAAATTATACCCAGAGTGGTTAGATCTTGAGTCGTGCAGAGCCGTATCGATGGCGGGTAGAAGTCGTGATCATTTGAGATGTTGAAAATTCATGAAACCGTCGTGCATGTGGCAAGGTGAACGGACTCTATATGTAATCGTTTCATCTACCACCAACTGCTCTCCAGCAAAAAGAAAAGACACTCCTAAAAATCTCCACTCTGGCTCTAGCGGGTTCCTGCAGCGACGGGAAAGCTTGTGCCTCCCCAGAGTCAAACCCAAATCTGTCTAGGTCGCTAGCTGCGGGAGCGATGCCTGAGACTGACAGCTAATCACTCGCAGGTGCTAGCTGGCCCAGGAGGATCAAGTCTGTAGCTGTAGACCTAAAGATGGAAGGGCAGGATTGTTATCGAGAAGATGCTGGCTGGGAAGTATTTATGCATGGCTTTTATCTTGTAGCATGACTTGATCGTGTCCTGTAGATAGGTATACATTATATCTGCATGTGTCCCTATGTTAGCTGCAATGACAGATCTCAAAGTAGCTCTGCTTACACATACGGCACAGCACTCAGGAACAACAACAACAACAACAACAACAAGGCCCTGAACGCGATATAAATACGCAATGTGTCTCTGGATCCCCCAATCGCTAGAACACACGCCTGCACCGCCACAGCACCAACTCCACCTCCCCCCGTCCCTGCCAAGCACCCACCTACTTACCCTACTCCACACCCCTGCCTGACCACTTCTGCCGGCCAACTCTATTTTAACCGAGCGCCCCATAAAGCCCGGCGATTCCTCCTCGTGAAGAAAAGTGAAGAGAAGAGAAGGTAAGTACATGTACCTAGGTAGATGTAGCTCGGTTCTTTGAAGCCCCGATGCTGTACCCCGCGCATCATCACCCAGTCCTCTAACGGTGCGTTCTCCGATCGTCATAAGTGCGGGGTTGCGGGGTGCGTTAATCTATGCTGGCGCCTTGATTAGCCTTTAGCTGCTCACGGACGATGGGATGGGGTTGGGGTTGGGTTAGGTTGGGATGTTCGCTGTTAGCAGCGGGGGATCGCCGTTGGCCAGAAAGACAGGTGGGTGCAGTGTACAGCGCTACCTGGGCCTTCCATAAAAATTCCCCGGTGCGTGACATGCGTGACTTGTGTGACTTTGTGATTCTGGTCTGTCTGGGAGTTGGATCGCAGGGTCGTGTTCTCACGCGGGTTGGCGTGCTTGTATGGGTTGGGGTTTTGTGCCTGGGAGTCTTGTTTGTTGCTGCTGGGTTTTATATACCAGGGACTGTTTTGTGTGGTTGTTTGAGTCTTGAGAAGGTCGACACCGCTATGTCGGTTTCGTCTTAGTGTTCGGAAAACCGAGTGATGATCCATGACCACAATTCACGCCCGCACATTGTCCTACATCTATTTACTATCGTTTCATATATCCAGTGCTCTTATCTTCGAGTTTGAAGCCTAGTTATATTCTTCTCTGCTGGTACGCGTGTTTAAGAACATCGAGAGATCGATTCGCTTTCAACAGCGCAGCGAGAGACGGACTGGAAAGCCTGCGTATCAGTAATGCATCAGTAAACGTAACTTAATACTCCAGAGATGACCCTCTTGAGCGGGGAGCCTCACTACCTTTGCACCAAAGGTTTATCACATATTTAAAATCATAGCAAGAGAGCGGTACGCGTGTTGGTGAAGGGCTTGGCTTGGCTCACAGCTACTCACTCGATACCCTCCTATTTCACATCTACGGTTATTCTCGCATTTGGTCCGCTTACTGGTCATGGACCGTCTCATAAAATGCTTAGATACCTGTAGGGGAAAACTTCACACGTGATGGCAGCGGCGGTGAAAGGCTCCGGGGAAGATGGGGGTTATGTGCTGGGTTGTGCCTTCGTTTTGAGGGTCTTGGATCTGGATAAAGACCCGAGATATCTCAACATACCTAAACAACAAAAACACATGATATGTTGTTGACAACAGATTAATTGTGCTACATGCACATGGGGTTGGGATTGGAGAAGCGATGGGGCGAAATTTAAAGGCTGCTAGCTGGAGTGTGTAGCGTCATGAGGCATCACTCGGAAATGCCAGGACTTATCTTGACTTGGAATCCTTTTTTTTTTTTTTTTTTGTTTAATTCATTAATTGCATATCTTGTCCCAGAGGTTTGGTCTCATCTGGCAGCTGGGTGGCGAAGAAAGCCTATATATGTATACAGATCGCCGTTTTCATGATGAGAAAGACGTCTACTGTCGGTTAAGGTTCGTTTATATCTCTTCATGGCCTGTCTTCTGAAAACGCTTAATTTCGTTGATCACGAAACAAGCTGATAGCTTTTAAACTTAACAGCCAGGAAAAGTATTGCCTCACCAGCTCTGAGTAAAAATCAAACAGCCCGATCCTATGGGTTTAATTAGTTTGACGTAGAACGGTTATACAGTCGAGTCGCGCGTGCTCTCTCAGGATATGAAAGTGGTATGAGCCTAGGTGGTACCTTTATATTATGGAGCATGTTACTTTCTTGTCAGGGTGGATTTGGGGCTACGAATAGTAAAGATCACCGGCGGCATGGGGGTCGGCAGTAATGTAGAGGTAAACGGGCTGAGAGAGAACCATCTGTCTAATAGTGAAGAATAAGCAGCGGGTAGACTTGGCTTGCTTTTAGCTGTCTCGATCATTCATTATTGATGGAGTGACTTATCATGCTCAACTCCATATGCTTTCTTCACCAAAACCAACTCGAAATTTTACGGTATTGATCAACGGATGCCTGGCTACTTAGCTACCAATGTTTTATTTTTACACTCCGTTCGGCAATACCTTAATATCACAATATTCAGCCCAATATCGTGATATTGAGAAAGTATGGAATATTTTTTCTAGTACGTAGTGTTCTGGCAACCACAAAATGTCAAATTTCTCAATCTGCTATCTGCCCCATATATATCGCGATAAAAAATATTCTGAAATAGCGCCACTAGGATTAGCGGCTCAACCCACCAAATACACCCAACGTCCCGACCTGTGGCTGCAGCCGAACATGCCAATTGTAACCACGATATTCACAAATATACTAGACCACAAAAGCCAAACATTTGGTTGCAATCTCCAGATCGAAACCTCGTCATATTCATATCGCAGTTTTGCCAAACGGAGTGTTAATTATTTCGGAATATTACATTAACCGTATATAGCTAGGGGCGTATTTAACATCAAAATAAAGAGGTCAATGGCCTGATAGCACGTGTGACGGAAGAGAATTAAGGAATCATCCTCAACTGATACAGTCCTCATCGGATCCTGCTTAGAATCCCCGTTTCAATAAAGCTAATACCAGTCTTCCTCTACCACAGGAGTAGATGCGTCAGGAAATGCATCCTGCCATAGTAACGCTTTGGGAAAGGCATCAAGGAATACCCTTTTTGATGCCTTTTTGATACCTTTCTAACGACTTTGTGATGGCTTTCCGATGCTAAAACTAAAGCCATAGATTTTCAACACTTAATAATATGTTATCTATAACAAAACCAAAGCTTAGTGGTTACTAGGTGGTTAGAACTCTTAATGACCTGAGTTGAATTCTAACTCAAGTCGGTTTTTTCGAAAAATAATTTTTTAGCCTAGTTTGGACCTAGGATCCATTTCCCGATCCATTGCTTGATCGGGCATTTTCTGATTCATTTCCTGATTCATTTCCTGATTCATTTCCTGATTCATTTCCTGATTCATTTCTGATTCGTTTCCTGGTTCATTTTCTGATTCGTTTCCCGACGAGTTGATTTTAATTACTGCATTTCCCAATGACATCTTCAATGCTTTTTAAACGACTTTCACCAAGGAAAATCTCGACTTAATTGACCTAAATCACTTGATGCATTTCCTGAATAGTCGTAGAGTTCATCATCCAACCGGTATTCATCCAACCGGTATTCATCCAAGTGGTAGAATTCATCATCATCGAATAATCTGCAGTATGTAAATAAATATCCTTTTCATATACTTGTTTTTGGGATAAACTTACTTAGAAGGTCTTTCATCGTTTTCAGCATTATCGGGGCTGCTTGATCTGGAGTACGTAAATATCCTGTTCACATGCTCATTTTGGGGATAAACTTACTTATAGAAGCACTTTCTTTTTCTGGGGTTTACTCCATACGAAAGCAACTGGTTCAGCCATGTCTCACTATATGAGTGACAGGAACCGTCGACGCTAACGGTCGAACCTGAATGCGTATAGTACCTCGTGTTCCGTGATTCTTCTAGGTCGGGGGTTTCGTTAAGGAAGGCTGAGAGCAAAGCCATAGGTTTCGTTATTATGCAGCGACGTTCATGGGCAGGCGTTGAATTGTGGTACAAGAGCATAGCCTCGGACCCTTGTTGCAAAGAGATGAAATGGAGAGGCGTAGGACCATCTCTGTTGTATATATGAGTGTCAACTCCAAGGTCCAATAGTAGTTGAAATATTACACTATTCCCGTGCGACGCCGCAATGTAGAGCGGACTTCTTCCTAACCGATCCCTCGCGCTGTTATCTATGCCGCTGTCTAACAAAAGTTGAACAATGCGTCTATTCCCTGTTTGGGATGCGAAATGCAATGCGTTTTGTCGCTCGTTATTGAAGGCTTGGATACTGGCCCCCCGCTGGAGTAACAATTGCGCAACAGCTAGATGTGATCCTTGAACAGCCAAGTGCAGAGCTTTGTTACCATACTGGTCCTGCTGTTCCGGGGAAGCTCCGTGGTCAAGGAGCACTGCGGCAGTGAGATAATGTCCGCCCTTGCTAGCCAAGTTTAAAGGTGACACTTCATCCCCATCAACAGACGCAGATGCAGCTATCAGATTGCCAACCGCAATTGGAAGCCCGCATTCGGCGGCCCTTTGTAGTAATGAATCAAGCTTGGTTTGATATGTGAGATCCCAAGCTTGATGTCGTACGAAAGACCAGGTCTCGTGACATATATCAAGTGCTTCAAAAGCGATTATCAGTGGCCTTAAGAGCAGATACATACTTCGCATGTGTGGTCCTACGATATTGCGGATGAGGATCAGTCGCAACCTCTCCATTATAGCTGGGCCAACTCCCGTGCTCTCTTTGAGATACCCTATAGCGTACTTGAGGAAGGGTCTCTTATTTAAGTGCTCTATAAGTGCTTGGCGTGAGCCAATGTGCTCCACAACATCTTTTGCGCCAGTGAGGGCCAGCTCCCAGTCTAGTACCTCAAGGAATCTCACGCATGTGAGTTGTATCATTTCTCGGGCATCATCCTCGCTCGTGAGGTTCAGATGGGAGTGAACACGATGATGCGGGCGGAGGAAGAATTCGCGTACGGTCTGGTGCATGGCCTGGATAACTGCATACGATTTCTCACCTATTAAGCGTTTTTTTAGTTTAATATATCTGGTGCTTAGGATAAACGAGGATTGAAAGACTACCTACTCTCTTGGATATCGACAAATCCTCCAGTACATTGTGTTAGGAGTCTCCTTATAGACGTAGGCTTTTCTATTTCCCAGGATGCCACCTCTGGCTCAGGATCCTTCGGTAGGCCAGGCATTGCAAGAGCATGCTCTAGCTCATGAAGCTCCATAGCTCGGTGAGAAAATAAACAAAATTGCAAAATACGCTTTCCATCTACCAAATCATCTGGGTCATCGCTGTCAAGGCCCTCGAGCATACGCTGGTAAAAGTCCTCCAGGCTTTTGGGGAGGGATTTGAGGAACTTCAGTAGTTTACCTTGCCTTGAACCCTTCATAGCATATTGTACCAGCTCCTTTGCCACAAGATGTACCCATAGAAATACACCGTCAGCATGCTCCATAATATATTCCTTAAGCGCTGGCTTGGCGCCTCTCACTGAGTCGAACACGGAATTCTGTAGAAATGCGTCCGTGTAAGATTCGATATCCTTCTTATTTCTTTCTTGGAGGACGATTCGATAAACTCCATTCAAACCGCTGGGGTGCAACTCGTTTATCGGTCGACTCGTGAGAAATACCTTTACTAGGCATTTACCATCACTGCCATCTGTCCTTTCAGTGAGCTTTTGGAAGAACTGAATAATATCTGTTCGGTCTGTATTCTCTGACTCGTCCATTGCATCAACGATTAAGAAGAGGCTTCGAGATAATACGTGTCTTCTACATGCTCTAAGCGCCTCTTTAAGCCTTTCAAGATCCCAAAGTTCATCCCGTCGGAGGGCCTGGCGATATATAGGCTGAACACACGCGAAAAACGATTCGTCTGCCTCAAGTATTTGGTAGAGAAGGGCCCTCAACATGTTCGTATGGTTCCTCTCAGAGTCTCCGTCACGAGCGTGGTAGAAAAAAGATGCGAGAATTATTTTGTTGGAAGAAACGGGTGAAAACCTGTCCTTGAAGAAGCGCATCAAGGTACTTTTACCACTGCCAGGCTTTCCTTCGATAAGGAGCAACCCCGCGCCACATTCTTGCGTTGAGTTCCAGGCAAGGTACTCGGGGGTTTTCCACAGCCACTCAAAGGTATGAGCATATCCTGTAGACACTTTCTCAGAACGTGAATTATGGAAGTATAGTGTAGTCAAGCAATCTGTAGTATTATCACAAAACCTGATTTAACAGTTGATACATAGAGTAATGAGGGCCAGCGGGATGCAAACCTTGTCTTTCTTTGTCATAGGTAACATGAATTTCCGAACCTGGTACAAGCTCAAGGTTCCCTATCACGGGTGGGTCCATTATCAACACTTTCGCTGTTATGCCATCCTTCCGCAGGTGGCGGATGATAGTACGGATTTTGGGAAATAACTCTTTCCAATGCTCGGTCGATGGCTCGTCCAGATCGAGAATCATTTTTATGTCTCTTTTTAGCTTTGAACACCCATTGTTCTGACTCACACGAATTGTTACCACTTGAGCCAGAGACTTCTCGAGAGCTTCTAAGATGGTCTCTAGCGAGGACAATCCCATTAGAATAGTAAACGCTTCTTCGGGGTCATCATAAACCCGCGATAACTCATCGTCATTCATAGGTGCCAGGAGAACGCGTAAAAACGATAGAAATAGTTGCTGTTGCACATCCTGCGAATAGGAATCGGTGGCCTGACAAAATAGTGTCCAAGCCATACAAAGGTCTTTGTGATTGGCCCCCTTTAGAGTCAAATCATATCTATAAGAAGTGCTTGCCGAGCCATAAGAGAAATTCAATATCAGGCTCTCTTTTTCAACCTTTGCAAGGTCTTGTAGAAAGATGGGTAATGCGTGCGCTAAGGAGGGAAATCCACTATACACTAGAGTATGGCTTGGATCGGTATCCACTCTCCAACGTTCGTAATCAAGATTATTTGAAGCTAAAAAGATACCCTCGGCATAGGCGGTCACCGACGGCTCCAGGAAACGGTGATGATATTCCTTCTGGTCAACGTAAAAGGAACACTCCTGTTTTATGATTGACCTCTCAAGGGATTGCTTTAATGACTCTCGGCTCCGCTTCTCTATAGAAAATTCAGCTCTTCCTCGCTCATGTAATGGCTAAGAGAGCTATGTACGCACCCACGAGACTTTCCATATACTTGATGACTGACCTGAACGCTCTTTCCTCAGGCGAACTGAACTTAACCATATCCGAATGATTTGAATCAATAGGAATGGGAACTTCCCCAGGCATGGAGCACTGGGCTGACGTCTTTTGAACCACCTGAATCGGCTCACCCTCTCTAGCAAACCTCCCGGGTCCAACCTATCAAGTTAACCAGAACGCCCAACGATTTATATAGGCTATATGTTGGGAAACCAACCTCAGTAACCGTTCTAGTTGTCCTAGTTTCATAGAAGGAGACTATCTTTGCTTTTAACTGTGGCCACATGTTTTTTAAACGGTCCTTTTGGTCCGCCAAATATTGGGAACCCTCATTCAAGTCCTCTATCATATTCCGCGTCTCAACACGTCCCACATCTGGGCTCACCAATTTTTGAAGACCTGAAATATTCATCCTATTGTGAAATGCCCTAAAGAGAAAAATTCCTCGAACGCAATTGAAAAGGCCCTGATTGCTAGGAGACTGGCGCCATTCAAGTAATACCTGAGTTTATACGGTAATTATGATGCTAGCAATCCATCCATGTGTGGAGGCAGCCCCTACCTGTATGACTAACATAGCCCCCAAACTGTGTGCAATAAAGATTATGGGTCTTTTCTAGAGGACATTATATACGTGCGAAATTAGCAAGCTATGCCGAGTATAAAAACAGGCTTATCATGAAATGCGACTTACAGGGCAGTTTCTTCTCGCATTGCTAATACACTCCATTAGTCCTAGTTTATGATCTCTCATAGTAAGAGGGTTGGTATTCCCCAATCTGCTATCATAACCGTATGTCATAATGCGCGTCTGAGGATATGCCTTGGGTAGGAAGTCACGTAGCCACATTGCGCCTCCATTTCGGCTTCTCCACGATCCAAAAGCATGGCCGCTCAAACCGGTGACGGCAATCACGCTGAATGTGCAGTTGTTAGCATCTAACAATACCCGTGGAATCGCAGTGCTCACTCACTCGGCACAGATCGGCGTCTGCGGGGTGTTTAAGGGTGTCAGATCAAAAAAGCTTTTATCGATTGTGATATGCACTGGTCTTTCACTCTTGTCGACATCAATCCAGATGAAGGGTTCCTCTGAATTAGGTCCATGGAGTGTAGAGGGATCTTTGAGGCTGATTAAGGCTGTTTGTGTGTCGTCATTGCAAGCTGGAAATGGACCTGAAATCTGTGAGGTGCTGAGAGTGAGCCCCGGGAGGATAGTGTTCAAAGCCGCTTGAAGGTTATCCTTGTCCCAATCCGGAGGTATCCCACGTATTCGGAAGCATGTTTCTGGAAGTAAGGTATGATCGGTACCGTGACACGGCCCTCCACCTAGTGGGCTTGAGGCTGAGGTAGCTGGGGAGCTTCTCCCGCTGTCGGGGGACTGCATATTGCTCGCCAGCGGGGAATATCTAGCTGTGGGAATGGTATTTGGGATAAGGATGATTGAAACCACTGGGTTCTGAAGGATTAAAAGCATACACGTAGCTACATACGTCCCGCTATCCCTTAAGCTGTCGCGAAAGTGCTGACCCCCCCAAAAAACAAATTCGGTGTGGCTGAACTACAGCCTCCGGTAGAATTATTGCGGAAATGTGGCGTTGGAGAACCGCTCTGTTCTCGGCGTGATGGTTGGTCCCTGTTTTCCACCGGAGGCTGTAACAGATCCCGTTATCTCTCTTATCATAATAGATCTCTCATAGAAAAATAATGAGGATACAGCGAAAGCTTGCTATAACGGTACGTTCGGGACCGGAATTTGGTACCGTTATAGAGAGATTACCCTTCTGACCCCTGCTTCCCGCTTACTACTCTACTCGAGTTTCCACTTGATCACGTGATGCGCGGGCAGGGCGCACGTGATAGGGCTTAAGGAACTACATACAGTCGCACCCCGCTATGTCGCTAACATATTCTGGGAGCCAAACCCCTACGAGATAGCAAATATACGAGACAGCAAATAGTTTTTGGTGGAGAAGGGCAGTACCTGTCCCACAAATCCGCACGAGACAGCAAGAGATCCGAGATATCGAGTTACGAGATAGCGAGGTGCGAGTGTACTTTACTAAGCATTCCTACCTAGCGGGTGCGCGCGGTCACAAACCCTCACCCGCACGCACCTACAAGTCCTATAGCTACATGTACCTATGTCCGCCTACATGTACAAGGCTCTAGGATTAAGTGAGTGAACAGATCCACACCAGTCAACACCCCATTTAGTTCACTCACTTAATGCCAGAGCCTTGTACCTACTGCTTTGCCCGCCTATAGAAGGATCTATTTCTGTATGTCGTAAGGAATCGATGATCAAGCAAGTTGTATGGTGCGCCCAGTGATCTTAGGGCCGGTCTGGCGGAACGCCAGTGTGGCAACTGTAACCGTAATCCTCGCCGATTGTATTTTGGGTGAAGGAAATCACAATCTGCCCAAATCATATTGAAGCCTGGACAGTGTGTGTAGTTGGTGGGGCATGTCCGTTGCAACGGAGATGTATGTAGATGTAGAATACCATTGCGTTGCAGGAATCATGATTCCGGGCCCTTAGAATGGTGTACATACAGTCGTTCACCGTCTCTTGGCGAATACTGCCACTTGACGACTTGGGATTCCAAGTATGGGAGGCCACAGCCAAGCTGCGAGATCTCCAGTACTCCTTTTAATTTATACTGGCCCAAAGTCCCGTTCGTCAACTGGAAATATTCTTCAAGCGACGGTGAACGACTGTATAGCTGTACCACCCTCCCCAAATCACAATCGGTTCCAGGATCATTATTTGGGGCGCTGCAACCATGGCAAGTAAGTTTAGTGGGTGGTGTAGTGCTGTAACGACGCCGGTCAACGACAACCAAGTTGACAATTGCGGTGCTGCAAGCAGAACAGCCAATTTTCAAGATATAAATTCGAGATTTTAGGGGAGGATAGTCGACCAGCCTGGAAAAAAGTTATACATAAGGGAGATGTTTCTTGGGCGGGTGTGTGTGGTTACTGGTTTGTGTTTCCGGGTGTCTCAAATAATATTTATTAGTGTCTAGCACTGGGCACGAGACAAGACGAGACCTTGGGGGCAACAAGACGAGGCAAGACAGGACTGTTTATAGATATCTTGAGATTTACCCCGAGAGACCTTTTTTGACTATTTTCCACCAAACCATTTAATCTTGCAAACCGATAAATCAGGGTTAGGGTTTGACAACAGACGTACTTCCGACTCCTAGCATCAAAGTCACCTGACCACGAAGTCTAGACTTTGTCAAGACTAGGCCCTTTTCTCGAGACTTTCGAGGCTAGAATGAAAAAATACAAGGCAAGACCTGTCAAAGTCTCGTCTCGTCTTATCCCACCAATATTAGAGCTATCGACAACTTGACGCCTTTTCAGAGCATCTAGCTGGATAGTATAGCTTGAACTCTTATCAGTCGTTACCATCGATTATGGGACTTTATGAGACATGATGATTCTCCAACGCACCCAACCCCCCCTAGCTACTCGGGTGGCTATAACTCCATAAGTTTTCAAGCCCTTTTCAGGGGAGCTACGTGACTACTATATCGATTACGTGGGACTGTGGACTGTGGACTGTGGACTATGGACTGTGGACTGTGGAGCCAAGGAACACAACCGAGGCAGGGATTATGCCAGTGGACGAGCGGTATACTGTGGAGCTCCCTTGGTATGATATGCCAGGGGACTATGGCTATGGACTACGGTGATGGGCAGGGCGTGCTTGCAGTGGACATATGCACGTACAACCGTGCTCTGCGTCATCGGATAAGATCTGTGCACGTAGTAATCTCATTGAAGGACATAAGTGTAGACTCGATCCACCGCTACACACAGCACCAGGCGATACATCTTAAGCTAAATGTAGGAATGACTCCTCAACCCCATCCTCCGACACGTCTGCTTCTCTTGCATCCAGAGCAAGGTGAGGGGGGGGGCGCCCATATATATCTCAACACTGCCAGCAGTGCAGTATGTTTAGCCGAAGCCATGGGCTATCCATTTCTTCCGATGCCTCCCTGCGTCTTCACCGGGAGTCTCATGAAGCTTGCTATGTAACAGATGTGTGTACCTGCCATAACAGCGCAGGACCGTTCGACAAAGTAGTGCCTACATTCCCCGACAACTCATATCTCTCCATATCTAGTATCTACATGTATCTCTGCAGTGTTGACAGCTCCCCCCTGCACGTGCCAAAAGCTTAGCTTCAGCCCAGCGTTACACCGCGTCGCCAAGACACGCACCTCCTCTGGCTGGGCTATGCAGCCCTGTCCGGGTGCAAATCTATTTTTGACAGCATTCATCTCGTGAGCTGGAGTATGCAAGTGCAGTCCCCAGAACAAGACAAGAAAAAACCCCCCGTGAACGCTGAAGCTAGACTATTTCTTTGCTAAGATATCTCTTCTAAAGCTGCTCTGTGTGGCGCAGCCCACCGACTCTAGCTACAGCTTACCGGCGTATCATCTTCTCGAACGCTGCCGGACGGGCGAGCGGTACCGGTGCTAAAGAGGTAACCATCTGCTTGACTGCCGCGTACTTTCGAGGGAGAGTGAGGGTTCGTCCAATGGGCATGCAGTACGATGCGCCTAAATCTGCAACATCTACATACGAGGATCCCAAGCTCTGGATATCGCGCCATGGCACGCCAATTGTTCCCACACATATGCATGGCCCGGTGAGACATCGAGTGATGGCTTAACTACAGAGGTATGTAAGTAGCATCTAGCTGGCAGCGGCTGTCATCCGCAGCAGAGAGGCTATTATTCTATTCTATTCATTCTTCAAGTGCTCAATCAATATTGGCGCAAGTCTGAGACTCCGCCCCAACGCACGAGCACGCAAGCCCGTAACTGATCGTGACTACTAGCTAGCCAAACTCTAACAAACACAGTCTTTTATTCATCCCTTTTAAAGATGTCGACCTCCAGCGTTGACCGTTGGCCTGTAGACTCGCAGAACCAGTACGTCCGATCCTCTTCTTTTCTTTTTCCCAGCCCTACTTGTCAACCCTAATCCCACATACTACAACAACAACCATGAGAAGCTCCCGAATCATGGATGCCTTCTGCAAAGATGCAGCCCGCGCCGAATGGACGCCCCAGCCCACAAAACCACAAAAGCTAAAGAAGAAGCACAGGTTCTCCCTCTCCAAGCGCAGCACATTCGGAAAACCCATCGCCTTCTCCGAAGACGTCATCCCCGTCGCCAACCCCCGCCGCCTATCGCGGGCACCACGACTAGAGGAGGACTACCGCAGGGCACAGGGTGAGGGCCCACTATCGATCCCAAAGGCCGGAACCAACCCCCCACAGCCCGTACCAGAGCCCATATTCCCGCCAGACCAGTTTGCAGTCAACGAGAGCATGACCGCATCCTATCGGCGGCGGTCATGGACACTGAAGCCGCGGAATGGAGCGGGGCCCGCAAAGCCAGCGTTGGTGACCATCGCAGAGTTCGAGGAGGGGAATGAGCTCAAGTCAGGGTTTGTGTCGTGTGCGGCCTCGATAGCCTACACCTCGCCATCCGTATCACGCTCAACGACCTACACCTCCCCCATAACCGCCACCTCCCAAGCCGCAGAGAACGGGTCGGGGGAACATGCGCACGACACAAAGGCCCCCCTCCGCTCCCCCCCACCCCCAAGAACCGACCCCGGCGCCCCCCCAATCCCCAAGCTCCCCGACGCAACCTTCAACCCCCTCCCCTCCCCAACCCAATACCTCCCCCAATCCGCCCGCCGCCAACGCATCTACCGCGTCAACAGCCGCAGCACCACCCCCAAACGCACACCCAGCAAAAAGTCCCACCCACACCCCCCAAAAGAAAAAATAATCACCCTCGCCTCCGCCGCCGCCGCGCGGCCAAAGCTCATCGAGATCATCCCCGCCCAGCGCAGCCGCAGCCGCAGCCGCGGCATACGCAACTCTGCGCCCCCGAAGCTGGCGGCGCTGGGGGAGGGGGCGGGGCCGTATGAGCTGCCGGGTGTGTCGTCGCCGAGAGCGGTGGAGCTGCCGGCGGTGGTGGTCGTGGTTGGAGGGGGGTCACCGACGACGCCGACGCTGACCTTCACTGCGCCTACACCGACGCCTTCGCCGGCGCCGGAGGGGATTCCGCAGCCGACGAGGAGGGCGCCGGCGCCGCCGGTGGTGGAGGAGGAGAAGACGGAGAGGACGGAGAGGACGGAGAAAGAGAAGACGGAGAAGACGGTGTATAAGCCGTACCGCGCGCCCACGCCGGAGGTGGCGGTGGTAGTGAACGAGAAGCCGCTTCCGGTTATTCCGCCGCTGAAGACGGGACGGCCGGTGGGGAAGAAGGCGGCGCAGGATGTGGTTGTGGAGAAGAAGAAGATGGAGGCGGTCGAGAAGAAGGAGGAGGTGAAGAAGACGGTGGTGATCCCGGAGGCGTTGAGGATTGGGATGGCGAGTCAGAGCTTGGAGGCGCGGTTGGGGAACTGGGAGGCGTTGGCGGCGGGGGAGAGGTATTAGTATGGTTTGGTTATGTTCATGGATTATCGGGGAACGGCGTTTTATGTGTTTTGATTGTTTGGTTTCTTGTACCTTTCTTTTTCTCTTTCTCTTGTTTCTTGTAGTTATATGTAGGGAGCATTGCGTGCGTGTGGGGTACGGTACATGGTGTTTTTTTTATTTTTTGTTTATCTCTTCATGAGCATCATCATTGATCAAGCGGATCTTTCTTCTGTCTTTAGCATATTCCGGGTATAAAAAGTTTTATGGGTTTAAAAATGAAGGCGTCTAGTACTATTTTACCTATGCCTGTTTCAGTCACTCGTCTGTCTATATACCGGTGACATTTCGGAGCTGTAGTTGTTTGTATGTGTGTGTGTGTGTGTCGTATGTATGGGTTAGGGTTCTGTATGTGTAATGGGTTCATGGGATATCACTCGGTTGGCTTTTTTACGGCGTTTCGGTTTTTTTTTGGCCTTTGTTTAATTCATTAATTGCATGCAGTTACGGCGCTTCGTCAGCTGGGACGTGGGTTGTGTGTTTGGGCGGAAGTGGCAGCGTGTAGGTCAATTATCTCGGTAATAAGTAGCGGGCGCTGGGTGGAGTGGGGATGGAGAGATATGAATATTATCGGGGTACCACTCCTCAGCACAGCAGCTTCTAGTTAATGATTGGTATATAGATATCCCAGACTTGGACGAGTCTCGGGGCTTTTGATCACCTCGGAGGTCGGGGCCAGATGACAAAAGTCTGTCGCGAAACGGGTGTGGTATTAAGGGTCTTTGCACGAGTGATGGCAGATGATGCAAAATATCCCAAAACAGCCCTCACACGGTCAAGGCATTGTAGTAGGGGGTAGACAAATGTTGGACCTAGATTAATATTGTGTAAGTTTTCGGGAGTTTTACACCTGGTTGGTAGGGGAAGGGGAAGGGGAAGGGGAAGGGGAAGTGGTATTAGTTATGTTAAGCCTGTGTTTATTGGCTGTGATATTATTGTTGGAGATAATCTAGGTTTTCGTGGGGCTCTGGCTGGGGATATGGTGTGGTGTGCACGAGATGGAATAAAACAAAACATAGCTATAACGCGAAAAGAAGAACATAAACCAAACCCGAAAAAGCCCAGCCTCGAAACATGTGAGTGATCATCTGTGACCCGGGTGTCAGTATCCAAACCTATGTACTTAGTTCTGCTAGGCCTTTCTCCGAATTAAAGCTGCTATCTAGTAGTCACTTGAGTGTGCGAAAGATTGGGTGGATGACTCTAATCCAGTACATATGGTTCACGAGGGCCCCCAAGGCAAGACTAGGGGGGAGCGCTTAAGATGACCTCGCCTTAGTTGACCTCTGTCTTTGCCTTTGCCTTTTCTCTAAGGCCGGTATTGTGGTCCTCGGGGCGCCTCGAGCTAGGACGACAAAAAATTAAAAGCAGCCTGGCACAGCAGGAAGTGATATTCTCTAGAATGGGGGGCGGGTTTTATTTGTGGCCTTATTTGGTGGGGTGTATTAATTATGTATTGTCTTTGTAAGTATTCTAGACGGGGTTCTTTTTTTTGTTTAATTCATTAATTGCATTTCTAGACGGGGGTAACAGCGCGGGGTAAGATCTCAAGTGCGAGGTTTGTTAGTGTCTTGGCTCATAAATACTCACTCGATCTTCCGGGGTGGTCTCGGGAATGAAATTAATGAATTAAACAACCACAAAAAAAAAAAAAAAAAAAAAAAAGGCGGAGGAGGGGCTTGTCTCGGGACATGCGAGACGAGAGCGGTACTGCAAATCCACAGGACAAGGTAATAGTGCTATGTAGCTCCCTACTCTCATTTCCAGAAACGGTGCCGTGAAGAATTAGCACTGGTAGTATTACTGAGATGAATGGGATTTTCGTTCAGGGTGGGCTGTCGGCGTGGGTGTATGTGTTTTCTTGCATGGGGTACGGTTTGAACCATATATGGGGGGGTCAATACTGGCGGAAGGTGGTGATGGGACTGGTGGCCTTAGAGCTGGGGGTGGGGAGGAGGGGTGGAGGGTGGTGTCGGAATCTATGGGGCGGGAAGGGAGGTATTGTTGTACTGTTACATGTAGTTGAGGTGGATGTCTTGATGGATATTGGGTGCAGTGGCCTGCTTCAATATTCCATCTGATAGTGTTATCAGATGAAGCAATCTGATGATAAGCCAGCGCCCGTACATGTAATTACATATAACCGTGTACAACATGCATCGTCCCGACTCCCGCCCGCACACACACACACACGCACACCTGGCTACCCGGTATCCCGTCCCCATCGTATGCACCACTGTGCGTCAACGTTAACGGCCGGCTATACGGCAAGATGTTGTGCTCTGGCGGACGCGCGTATGTTTGGTTTGCATTGGCCATGTTTCTGCTGTGTTACTTAAATGCCCCGATGGGAAGACGGGGTGTCCAATGATGCGTACACGTCATTGTATGGATAGTTGTACCTCGTTATAAAAACTGATACTTTCCTTCTTTCTCTTTCACTAAATGTCTGAATAATGCTACATACATTCGTTTATACCTTTTAAATCACTTATCCAGCGGTTCTTAATCATCATCTACGAGGGTTGGGTACGGATGTATCTCACAATTCATGCTTTCATCCATGATCACAATTCTGTCTGGTCTAGATGTCTTCTCGGTCTCATGTTTATCAATTTAAGGTTAAATTCAATATCCAACTACATCCATCGTCCACCTAACTAACAACTTCTCCAGCTACCCAACTCAACACACTCCTCCATAATATCCATCGTCATCTCGTCAAAACATCATCATATTTCTCGTCTTCCAAGATTTACGGGCAAACCAATTGCAAGTCGACTGGGAAGCTATCAGTGGTGGTGATGACGCCCTCGGGAACCCAGCGGAACTTTAATCAAAAAATCAGTCTTTGAGCTGTCGACAAAATAAGAGCCAGCAACAACATACCGTGTAAGCACCCTCAACAGCACTGTAGGGGAATGCATAAAATCTGTCGGCCACATCACCATAGGTCAGGAGGCCGTCTGTGATAGCCCAGTCCGAGAAGCGTGCCTATATATACTCAGTCAGTATGCAATCTTGATATTGCAGATAATTTTGCTCTTACCTCTGCCACGGCAAAGTCTGCAAAGGCCAGCTGCTCTACACCAGTAGTCCCAATCGGGATCAAAAAGACGCTGTCGGCACCATCTCCATCGATACCGTTCACCTTAAGCTCTACAGGAGCGACATCGTCCCACCAGGCCTCAACGGTGGGGGCGGCAGCGTTGACGACGGCATCACCATTGTAGTTCTGGAGAACGAGACCATTGAGGTCCGGGTTGGAGGAACCGCTGACAATAAAGTTGAAAACGCGGCATTGAGCAGCGGCCTGAGAGGCAAGGAAGAGGGCAGAGGCGACGAGGGAGTTGGTGAACTTCATGATTGATATTACTGAGAAGTTGGAAGCGTGAGTATACCTTGATGCTTGATTGAGGTGAGCGGGAAAGGTAGGGAGGAAAGAAACGTTTGAGAGGATGGCTGAAGGGGTTTATATACACTTTCTTCTCTCTTCTACGATTGCTCTACAAGCGCGCCTTATGGTGTTATCAGAGCCTTGTCGAGTGCTCATCTGCGACAATGGTTCTGCAACATTCCATCCAACCAGAGCTCGGGGGGGGGGGGGGGGGGGGGCGGTTCTTGGCCGCAGTCATCGCCAAGCAAATATATTGATATCACGGTTTCGAGAATAACATGATTCTGGCTTTTGGGGGCCATTTGGAATACGATATATGGACCCACAATTACACATAGCTATCCAGGTCCAGATAGAGCATCTCAACGCGGACTTGTTTCCGAAACGATGAATGCTGTAAACGTTCAACTAGCAGAGGAAACAATTTTCTCGATATCAAATTCCATCACGGGCGATATTAATAAGATCTATCTATTGCCTTGCAAGTATTTGGGTTTGGCATCTGACAGTCAATATCGGTCGCCTCGCAGATAGTGTACCTGTCCTGGTAACTACTACCTGCCCAGCCCCACGAGTGATGACAGATGACGGATCACCAATCTGACTCGGGTGGATTGCACCGCATCCAGGTATTCTGATTGGCTGTACGGGGTGGGTAACGATGGGTTTGTAATAATCATCATTCCTCGCACTCTGATTAGTAGCAATATCTTCCGTCGCACAACTCCAACAACAATATCGGCGCTGTCTACATACATGCTGTAAAGATGTCTATCAGACAGCATCCGTCCCTCCCCGCGTGCACCGTCTATAACAAAAATAAAACCTGCTCACTTACCGGTGAAGAGAAAGCTAATTTTTGCGGCATTTGATTTATCTCTTGATTAGAATCGGCCACCGAAATCCCCGAAAGCGCCGAAACCCCCAGAATTCCGTGTCACCATGACCACTTGCCGTTGCCAAGACCTGCAACTAGAACAGATGAAGCCGTTGCTGGACAGTCGCTTGTACCTCAATACCCGGCCGGGGGGTTTTTTTTAAAGTCTCCTGAGAGCAAGAGCTAAACCTAGGTGCCGGGCCTCGGGTACGTTAATAACCCGGTGAAGAGTAGCTTATTGCAAGCGAAATATATGTAGGTACAATCTACACTGTCTTCAGGTTGTCGGGTAGAGTAAGTAAACAAATAAAGTGAAGTGCAGAGTGCAGCAGAGAAGAGACATACCCTGCAGACTGGGTCACGGAATGACTCATTAGCCGGCAGCTGCATACACCTGTCAGCAAAGCTAGCAGGAATATTAATCCGGGTTAAAAACTTAAAATAAGCCTTGTTGCGGGTGTGGCTTTCTGTTGGTTGCGTTCCGAGACCCATTCGGCAGTTTCTTTTTGGTTGTGGTGCATGAGAGCTAGAGCTTTAGGGTGTACTAAGTACGGACCGCAGTACCTCTTTTTCATATCATTACAGCTGAAGATGAGGTGAGGAGCTGTACCTATACAGTTCTCTTCAGTATTGTCTCAGCACTACTACATACCGCCAGAGGTATTTACTTCGTCTCTATTCCCCTTCATCTATGGGTCCAGCTGCAGGTCTGACTACATGTATTCATGAATATTTCTCAGCTTCGCCAGAGCTAGATCAGATATTTGATTATGATCGATCATGATTTAGATTTAACCAATTGATAAGCATTTATTAGCAGTTAACTAGCGCACACCCTTACCGTAATATGGTCAGCACCTCACACATGGAATGCTAGAGGCGATACACTTGACAGAAGCGGAAAATCATAAAGCGATCTCTTGGCAGCACCCCTCTCCAGCGGAGAATTAATTAGAAGCCTAAGCAAAGAGGGACGTTGATATAACGTTTAAACCACTGGAATGTAGAGACTTATGGATATATGGAGGCGCACTAATATGATAAAAGTGCATTTTGGGCAGACTGTGGAGTGGTGGGTTGCACTTTGGGTCTTGTGTGTGGTTGGGTGGTTGGATGGTTGGGCGGTTGGTTGATTGGTGTGGATAGGGAGTGGGAGTTGGAGTATAAGAATGAGCGTGCGGTCCGTAAAATTTGAGTCTGGCCGGCACTGCTGTGCTGGTTATTTGAACCTAGTCTGGGTCGTAAAGGTTGCGATGAAGAATGTGATGTAGTTACATTCAGTTAGACTTATCAAGCCCGAGCGCCGCTGCTTGGATGAATGGAGCTTAAGAATGGGTATGGGGACTGGGTTAATTATCAGCTCTTACACTAGGGATTTTGGCTAAGTATCGGCTTAATGCGAGTACAGGATCGACATGAGGTCTGTGTATGTTCTACAATGGATGTTTAAGTATCTGCCGCGTGCCCACTCCAGGTTTAGAGGAAGTTCCATGCGTAAACTTCTGGCGGTTGGTTCCTAGTAAGGGTTTTCTCATACATGTATGCATTGTTGGTTCAAGGTGCTGGTAAGTTAGTCGGAATATATGGCGACGGATGTGGGTGTGAGTTTAAATATGTCCTTGGCGGATATGATGCACGCGCACGTCCACTGTACATACGTTTCGTCCGGATCTCTTCCGGTATCATCACGTGGGTGATTGCTGAACGCTCAAACTGGTAGATTAGTATGTGTCTACGACTCCTACTCTGGATCTCTACTTCTCAAACCTACCGCTATATATGTATACACCCACGTACATAGAACCTCCACACCACGAGTCATATTAGTCGCCATCATAAACTCTCTAAGTCTTCTTTCTTCGCTCTCCCCCCTTAAATCATCTGAAACTGCTATATAGAGCCTCGTTTTCACTGGGAATTAATGATACATACACCCCAGGGGAGAACAACGTTACAGCAGAGACCCAAGTAAGATATTCGGACAAAGGCCGTAAAACCAAAGAAAAAGAAAAATCTGAGGTTACCAGCTCTATAGCACCGGGCGTTAATAATTGTCTTGGCCCCTTAAAAAAAGGATTCATATCTCGTGCTCACATAACTAGTCAATATATGTTTTACTATGTTTCCAGACGTAAACCATGTATATACTCGGGGTATTTAGAGACGGATTTGTGAGGTACCTCTGCCACGTGAGGTCCTTGATTAAGCAATTGATCAGCAAAGAAGGCTGACGCCTCGTACTCGAGGCAGAGAGTTGCCATACTTAGACCTGTCATGAAATTCAATTCATGGATTTAAGTGCCGCGATGGCGAGATCACATGTTGATTTGACATGTTGGTGGTCATTCAGGTTTATATATATGTTCCTGTTGAACGGATTATATATTCCCTAAGAACTAACCAATTAATTACTAAGGAATCCGCACAATTGCGCAACGTCGAGGTTATCAAGACTTCTGTTTAGCTCCATAAAAGGGACTCAGGGGCTTGTCCTATTAGCATACTAGAGACCACGAGATATCGTAATGTGAGAAAATTCACAAAACCTCTACCACGATAATCAGAGTGATATATGGTGATTAAGACAACAATTCTCATACAACGTGATATAGCACGAAGGCTTATGAGGGGAACATTCTCAATTATCATTCTAATTCATCATACGAGTATAGAGATAGAGTATTTGACCGTTAAGTGGCATGATAACATGTAAATACATGTATGCACTAGCTAGTGTTTTCGGTTTCAGACGTACCAGGACGTAAGACGATAATAGTGTTGGGCACGAGCCTGTTCGAGATGAGCCTGACATAGAGATCGAGCTGGCTCAGGTTGTGGAAAGGAAGGCTCGGGATCATATGTTCGGGCTCGGGAGCATGGCTCAACCTCCCATTAGTATAGCTGAAAATAGTCATCTCCATATACTTTTTCATTTCTAGCGACAAATTGAGAGGATTATAAATAAGAAAAAAAGAAAAAGAAATATTGAATTGGGTGCATAGACCACTATTCTAACAGAGCTTGAAGGTCTGCTTGCTGGGGGAGATAATACGCACTAGTAGCAGTAGCAAAGAATGAATGACTTATGCTAGCTCGAGCTGTGATTAATATGACTGAAAATACATACATAGTCATCTTGACGTAATTTTTCGTTTCTAGGGAGGAGTTGAGAGAATCTATCTTCAATATATTTATTATCCAGCTTTGCCATCATCAACTCATTATTTATAGCCCAAAAAGCTCGAGCCCAATGCTCGAGCCAGCTCGGCTTGTGCCCAACACTAGACGATAATGAATGCGTCCAATCTCATACTTGAACAAAAGGCTAGGGGATCATAGTTTACAGTCAACTGTGAAGATCTTGATTTTTTGTGATTTTAAACCGGGAGCTATTTTAACCCTTTTCCAACATCGTTTCCATCCTAATTGCAAGGTACTTGCAATGACCAAGACCGTGCAAAATCTTTGCCATATCTCCCAGCATATAACCCCTTTTTAGCTTCGTTATCATAGTAGCGTGTACTTATATAGAAACTGAGATTGATGGCGAGGACCTAGATCCGATTCCCGATATGAAGATGCGTCTTTTTTGATCCTATAAATTCGCAGCTAGTTTCCCCCCCACCTTTTAAAACCCATAGTGCTGCTTCCTCAGCAGCACGTCCTACCTTCTCCGAGTCCCCTGTTCTCACGGCTCAGGGAGCTTTGGAGTTAACAACTATGTCTCTATCACCAGTTTCTCGTTTCCTTTATGTTTTTTTGGAACGGGGGCCGGGAAGTCGAGCAATTAATCGGTGGTGGTGGGTTAGGGTTTTTTGTGGGTTTATTTCAACTCATGATAATTTTTCTATAGATAGTCTTTTCTTATGAGAGATCTATAAATAGCCCCTATTTTTCTCGAAGGCCCCAAAGCTCTCGACGTATTGGTATATTTTTCGAAATTTTGGTAGCTAAGACTAGGGAAATTTAGTCGATATACCCAACCGATAGAGCCACGTCCTAGACCAGAGATCTAGATATCCGCTTTGAGAGGACTCGTGCCGGACCATACGTTACTTACATGTATGCTACTAATACTCCACCTAGTTTT